ATATGGATGAGGCATATGGGTTTTGGCATGGTTGTTTATTTGAATGTGTGACTGTGCGCATGGGTGACTGATCCCTAAATGACCCCTGTATTCTGGGATTTGACCTTGAGTCAAGTTAACGTTGTCACCTTTACCTCTGTTAGTCAGGAACAACAACATATTAAATTTTTTCTTTTTCTAGTAAAATATCCAGAATGGAAGAGATGTCTCATATGGGAATTCCGATGGAAGACCTGATCTCCAAAAACTACATAGAAATTGTCAATCAGAAACTCAAGCATCTTTTATAATATCAACTTCAGAGTACTTGTGTGTACAATCAGAACGTTTTTTACAAAATTTTGTAAATGCCCAATGGCAAGGTAAGTAAACTAACAGTTCCATTCTTATTGAAAAAAGCAGCTGTCTATGATTTCAAATATTTTTAATATTTAATTTATTGTGGGGAATGGTATAAAGGCTGAAAAGTCGTACGTTTTGACGTTATTGATTTTGATAAAATTTTGTGATTTCAAATTTTCTACTAAGTTCCTTAGAGTTTTTAAGTATCCACATCTGATATACACCACTTCTCGAATATATTGTTGTACAGTACTCCCGAAGTTTCTCCTTCACTGCTGTCAATATTTTAGTGAAGAGTAAAGAAAGAGGCTTGGTGAAACATTTACTGGAACCCGCTATGTATCTTTGTTTATAAGGATTTTTATGAAGTATAGGAAACCAGACAGTATAAGTATAGCCGCCATTCAAATTCATTTTGGTTGTTGGGAATATTAAAAGTATTCAAAATTGACATATGATTTTGAAAAATTTCTTCCTTAGAAAGGGAGTTATAGGCATTAGTTGGATTACCACTGGTAGAATTAATTCCCAGTTCCTCTAAAATACAATTAAAATAATGAGCATTATAGACAATATTACGGACAATATTGTTACCTGCTTTGTCAGCCGGGACCAGCACATATTGATCGTGTAATTTGTCTAATTATTTTTTTACTTCTGAATTATTGAAGACAAAAAGATTGGTGGTTTTTTTATATTGCCCCTCAATCGCTTAATGCATTATTTTAACATTCATCTGATTCTTTTAATCCATTCTGACAAACTGTCAAGGTCTTCTTTTTCATATTTGGCCCAACGTCTGGCGGGCGTAGTCTTTCACAGAATTCATAAAATTTATGAAATTATAACGTCAGTTGAAAGATCAGGGTTTCATAAATTTTGGCCCTTTTAAAATAAGTGATTTAAGGTCTTCATTATTAATATATTTACGTCACCAGTAATGAAGTCTCCAGCAGGACTTTAGTTGTAGGATGAAGAAGAACATGAACACGTTGTAGGATTATGTTGCAGATGTTCGATATCTAGGCACTTTAGAGTTTTATTTTTTATAATCAAAAAGTTTGGAATCAATAGTTGATGTATATTTGTTATAAACACAAGGTGTGGAGGACTTCAACTTGAAATATGGTGGAATACAATCCAAGCTTGTATTCTTAATTCGAAGGATCCAAATATGGACTTTCCTTGACTTTTTCAAGTAGACTATTTATAACTTACAAAGGGACAGAGTAAAATTTGGTGCGAATGTGATGGAGACCACATAAGGCAGTAGCGAATTAAAGGAGACATCGTGCATAATAGGTTTGTCCATGAGTACGCTTAAGTCTCTGTGTATTGTTAAAAAGTCCCATCACATTCACATTGTTACATTGTGGACTGGAAAGATTCCCAACACTATCGACATTGTCATTGCTACCATATGGAAAGGCCGTGCCTAGATTTCTGAGGCTGTATTCCTCTCGTTGTCTAGGGAAACGTGTACTCAGTGATGGACTATTAGTATGATGGTTAATCTTTTCAAGAATTGTAACTTTCATTGACAAAATAGAAGCATTTTCTTGGACCAGTCGCGATAGCCTAGAGGTTGGGCGCTCGATTTGTGTTCCGAAGATTTGGGCTCGATTCTTTTTCTCTTTATGGAGCCGTTTGAAATTAAGACGTTTAACATTAGTAGTAACTGTTCCTTCGCCAGGTCAGATATGACCTTACAAAACGGAGGTCTTGTCGCATGGTAGGTGTGGGCACGATAAGGAACTCTCAATGCACGGAAAACATAATCGTCAACCTTATAAAGATGTCAAGAGATCAGAAACCTGGAAGTGAACCAATAGCCATATTGGTAGTGTTTATAAGCTAAAGTGAAAAGGATTTTAAGCTTCATTAAGCCGGAAAAAAGAGTTTGAAGTTTAACTGATCCTGAATTTAACTTTATATTATATTCTACTTTATACATTGTATTCCTTTTCAACTGCACAAAATCCCGAAGAACTTCATTATAGAGACATAAGACATTCCTTTTAAATATTTGCACATTAGATTTGATTTAGTCTCACCCTTTCAAATCAAAAATAAAAAATGCCTATTTTATTCAGTATATTGTACAAAAGCCTATTAAGATCAATCTATGGAGACAAAAAAATTTAACGCCTTTCGAAAAGACGTTATGACGCCAAATAGTCGTAATAACGCCTTTTGAAAAGGCGTAATAAAGCCTTTTGGAATGGCGTAATAACGCCTTTTTGAAAGGCGTAATAATGCCTTTTCGAAAGGCGTTATAAGCGAATAGGCTTTTGTAATATTGTATCCTGAACTTATTTGTTATACTACCTGAAAAACGCAAATATGCCCATCATAAACGATGCATTCGCTTATTTATGAGTAATTAAAGCACTTCAGATAAGATCAGATACCTGCTCAAACTTATTTTGAATGATTGCTTCAAATCTAGCACCATTAATGAAAACTCAAACAAAGCTTGGTTCTAAAGTAGGCAAGTACATATGCCATAAAAGGAAATAAAGTGAAAGATTAGGCCAGTTTGTTAAAGTAGATTATGTTCGTATTTATTGGAAACTTCACGGTGACCAGAAAGTCATCTGAAGTTCCTCTATTAGACAAATGTCAAGCTTATAATCATCCAAAGGTTTTCACCAATATAGGAGAGGACTTCTCGAGTTGATTACGAAGACCTAAAAGTGACAGAGTGAGGAATATAGCCAGTGAAATTCATTAAGTTTTCTTGCAATCAGATTGAAATCGCTTCTTCTTATGAGGCGCGAAATGCGTATCTCAATTCAAGCTCATCACAAAGTTCAAATTTTAGTGTTTTAGGGCTATATGGAAGCCTTAGTTTTCAAAAGCCTAGTCCAGCACAGCCTATTTAGGGTGCTTGATAGCTGTCATAAACCTATGTTTATTTAAGTATATCAATATTAGTTTGAACCACTCAGATTTTATAATTATATATACATGTATATAAAAGTATGCACAACGTCTGAGGGGAAAAAGTCAGGCGAAAATGACGTTTTGTATTAGTAACCGAATTCAATACGATAAACGAACGCCTAGAATTGACCGGGTTGAAAAATCAGGCTAGATGTATTCCATTATATCAATGTTATTGTTCACTTGTATTCTCGGTCTTTGATGATTGCAGATATTGCATCCAAAGTGCAATAAATCAAGTAAATTTTGCTTCTATGAAGGAACTAGGAGAAAAAAAATAGCTACGTACATCAAAGTACGCATCAAAATTATATTAGAAGAAACACAATTGTTAAAATATGCAAAATAGTATAGACAATCTTTTTAAAGTAATTATGGGGACAGAATGATGTCAGAAAATAGAAAAACGTATGCTCATTATCTAAAAAAATTGTCTGCAAAAAATATGCTAATTACAATGGCAACATAAGCCGTCGTGCCATATCGATGTGAACGTTATACAAAAAAAGCTAGCTGAAGGAAATTCTTACAAACAGTTAAATGAAGATGCTGGAGATGGCAGAGACAAGTCATTAGAATATACTAGAACACAATTACTAGAACAACCCTCAAATGGACACTAGAAGCTTGGAAGACATATAAGGGGGATACAACAGGGGACCTATAGATCAATCACTAGAAGTGTAAAGAGACGAACCCGGAGGGAGAGGGATGCAATTAACAGACCTAGGTGGCAAATGTGCATAACGAATTACGTTATTTTTGTATTTTTATTACATGCTGGTATTAAATTTCCATTGCAGATCTAGTCTGAATTTTGACAAAAATGTTTTTAAAAATATGTCATTCCAAGTAATATAACTAAGTACTTCGTGTATATCTCTATTCCAGGTCCGTTGTTCGGAAAATCAATGGTCAGTGACCAGAGCATGCAATACAGAATACCTGCATGAAGACGCCCACTAATTGTCAATTCCGTCAGTATATCACATTACGATACACTGCAACAAATCTTACATACCTTAAGAAGCCCTGCATTCAGAAGGATTATATTTGAATCAATCGCATTCATTTTGAAGTGGAACAGTAAGATCAGTAACGGTAAGAAATTAAAATGTAAATGTATAAAGCAAATTTTATTCTTTTAATGGTAGAATTTGTATGTATTTATATTGTCAACTTCATTTGACTTTGAGCTTTTTTGTGACTGATGTTTCATCTAACTTCTTCTTTTAAGCACCTCTGCCTGCTTTTTAAAATCTTTTAAATCGTGTTTCCTTCATAAAATTTTTTTTCTTCCAAAAATTAAGTGGCAGCAAAGAAATCAAAATTAAGCGGGGAAAAAGTATTTTTTCAGAAGTTGTCTTGTTTGGCTAAAAAAAATATTGAAAAAAATTGATCATCATTAGTTAGAAATTATGAATATTGCTAAATCTTTTCTTACGGATACTGGCTGAGTTATTTGGTTTACTATTTTAAAAAAAAGATCATGCCCGAAGCTAGTAATTATACATATAAAATGAATTGGTAATTAATTTTCTAATTATCTAAAATATTATACTTTATAGGTAGAAAAATCTGAGCCTTCATTGATCAGTCGCTGATCTGAGGCTATTTCTTAATTGGCATTCGATCGTTCCAACTCGTATAAAGAGAAAATCCCGATATTTTTACCATCAGATGCGTGACATCGCTATATTCCAGCACACTGTCTTAAGTAATGGCATCTGAGAAATTGTGTTAATAATTAGCTCAGATGGCATTATCTTGACTTACTTGATAATCAACAACTTTTGATTTGATTGAATCTAGAATCCACTATTTATTGTGCATTTTTTGGCTTGGGCTGCTTTTTGATTCCCAGTTGGCTATTTTTTGTGAAACTATTAAGACATGCCCAAAGAAGAAAACAAGGATTCTTTAGACGTCTGTAGGTAAGTGGGTGATGATTTTTTTCTTCACTTAAAAAAAATCTTTTTATCCCTCCCTAAATCACACTTTTCATATTAAGTTAGAAATTTAAAGGAAAAAAAAGCTTTTGCGAGTGTACACTTTATACAGCTTCATTTTTGTCGCAGTTTTATTTTTCCTGCTTGAACTTTTCACCTAAACTCCGTAAAGTACTTAAAAAAATGGAGAATTAGATGCTGACAGACAATAGTTTATTCAAATGAGAGACAACAAATTTCAGAGTATACGAAAATGACCAAAATGACTATGAGCAAAATCAAGACATGCGCAGGCGCAATACAACCAGGTACGTAAGTTCTATGTAAGTTTTCACTATGTATTAAAATAACAGCAGATTATTGCTACCTTTGTTGGCAATGACTGTGGTTAATATAAGTTGCACTTTTGAAATCATTCATAAGCTGTATATTTGTTAAGCTGTCACTTGCTACAAATACCATGGCTTAATTTCCTACATGCTTGGATACATATAGTTTCCAACCTTTTATACAATTTTTTTATGCCTGAATCTTGACATTTCTCTTTATGGTGTCAGAAAGAAATGTAACTGATAATTTAGACGGTTTGTGACCTGCAGAAGAAGAGCTCTTTTTATTTCCAATTTTTCTCTTTATTATTTTTTTTTATCGGGATGAAGTGTTCACTTATATATCTTTCCTATCATTGTTGCCTCAAAAAATTGATATGAAAAATTATAACAAAAGAAGGATTTGAAAAGTTAATTTCCTAAACTTTCAAATAGTCATTAAGCACTCGATCTTCATTCAATCGTTTATTTCAAAATACACTAATGCATCCTCATTTCATCTTTTATTGCATATAATTTTCATTCCGTTTCTTAGAAGTTGTGAACGTTGTCAAATAAATATATATGCCAAGATTTATAAACAATAGTGGAAGTCAGTGACAGATGAAAGGAAATGGGTTAGGGTTTAAATGACCCAGAATTGTCAACCTGTCTTTACCATTAAATCTCTAGTGTGACTATTGCGTTAGTGTCATTGACAATATCGTATTCAAATCTAAACATGTTTGCCTTGCAAAGATTATGAAGAGTTGATGCCGCAAATCACCCAAAAAAGATGTCACTTAAAATGGACTCTTAATGTTGATCTGCATACTATAATTTTTGTCAAATAATCACTTGGAGACACAGAAGAAACATCAAACTGTAAAAGCAATACATATTAAAAAATACAATTGAACTTTTCTTGATATAATGAGGAAAAAGAAAGATTGGTGCTTTAAACAGTAAAATAAAAGCTGTATAATTCACGGTTTTGGAGTGCGACAACTCATTAAACGTTATACATGACGAAAATGAAAAGTGTTTCCATTAAGCGTGTTAAGATCAATTTGCGAAAACATTATCACTTCAAGTGAGTCTTGACCTAATACATATATTATTATTTGGAGGGAAACGAAACATTTTATTCAATGCATAGCAATTACAAAGAAGAGCTGCTTGAGGACAAATTAATTTAGTTTACTTAAAATTTGTGCAGGGTTTTCTTTGGTGTGACTTTGGCCATTATAGACAGGACTGAACTAGAAATGGCTTTGTTTTGATCGATAGTGTCTTCTTAAATTAGTATATTTTTGGTGATATGTGATGCATTATTTTTTGAAACTTTATCAAATAACAGCCATGTTGATGTTGGAGATCGTAAATGGCTAATCCAATTATCTGACATTAAATATGAATTTTTAGAGACAATATTGATTTTGCGCTTTCCAGTCGTGTTAACTTTACAATGACAATACATAATTTATCATACAGAGAAATAAATTTCATGACCCATTTATGGATTTTGGAAGCGTTCAAGATTAATCAGTATGTAAATTCCTTTTTGATATGCTCCACTGAGCACATTTCACTCGCTATATGTTTTCTTTTAAATGAAATTGTTGTGGAAGATGCTGAAACACAAAAACCGATTAATTAGAATAAAATCTGCATGTCCGTACCCATTTAAGATAATATACATGTATAGAAAAATTATTTTAATGGTGGATTTCTGTTCCTACATTACTCTCTGTTTACATTGGAAACAGTTGTATTAAAGACATTCATTTAATATATTCCATGTTGACCGATAGAGAGATGTCTAAGCATCTTGACGTTGCAGCTCCGCACATTTTGATCTGTGTGTTGACCAGTTTCACAGTCTCATGACTATTTTAAAATATTCTTGATATTTGTCAACAATGATCGGCTTCAAAATATCTTGTATGTTCTAATTCTCCGTTTTTATCTAAGAAGACTTGCTTGAAATCTCTTGCCTTGAAAAGTCTTGCAAACCCATGAATCATAGATCTTTATTTCTCACACAGTACTTTGCTGTTTGTCTCTCTCCTTTTTAAAATATTCAACTTCATACATTTCTTAAATAAGTACGTACACTTGAGTTTAGAAACATTGCTATGTGCAATACAAAGACGTGTTTTCTGAGGTGAGAGTGAAGCCGGGTTTCCATTCCTAGTTTCCCGAGAGTGACATTAACTGGAAACATTTCGGGATGTTAATTTGGTCATTACTGTGGTTGTTTCATTCTGTCTTTCTTTAAAACTAATTTGTCCATGAGTGGTTTGGCTGTTACGCAACTTCCAGACTATCTACATCTCAAAGACCGAGGAAGGGTAAACATAAAATATAATTTAATTTTCTCTCGCTATATATTAAAATATGCTTATGCTAGTATTTTCGAGCAATCGCAAGTTATTTTAATCTGGTCTTTCTGCTTGTCAATAACAACCAATATGAACAGGTATCTTGATTCCTTTTGATGATATTTTCTGTTTTGTGCAGTTGAGCGGTGTAGAGACATATTTGAGGGGAAAAAATATTCCCTTAAGGATAAAAAACACAAACACAGGTTTTTTTTTTCAGAAATCAGCAATAAGTCTGATAGATTTATGTTCATATAGATAATTTGAATAATTTTTACCAGAGCAAATTTAGAAATTTTGTAAGATTTTGTAATAATGTCATAAAATGTATGCAAGAATTTGTTTAGATTTATACAGAAAATGGCATATAGTCTCAAATATGAACACCAAAGCTAAAGAATACTTACAATTTCTTAAAATATACATGCATCGATTTTTGTTTGTGTTATTTATCCTTAACTGTTACATGTACTTATTGACTACATCATTATAGCTTTATTTTCAAAGCCTATGCTTTACGTGTCAAGCTGACCAATTTATTTGTCCAGTTTATAGTGCTCTTCGTTAGGTCATTTAAGTTTCTATAGATGTTTGTATCGATCAGTGTAAATGTGTGTGCTTCTTACAATGAGCGCTTAATAAATGTATCACATATATAACGTCGAGAATTACTAAGAAACGATATTATCGTAGGTCATCAACATTTTCATCAAAACAAAGTCTGTCACATTTTTAAACAGTAAATTCCATTTCAGTGATAACTTCTTGATACAAAATATTTTTTTCTTGAAGTTTTTAAAAAAAAAAATTTTAAAACGAATACTTTAACTGCTGTATATTAGTATGAACTTCGAATCGGGTGTTAATTAATATTTTTAGGTTTTAAGTATGGATAGAATCTAGTTTTTCTCAAAGATTTGCATATCTGAAAGATCATCGGATATTTTTTCGAAAACTTATATCTTCTAAAACTCGTAATAATGCCATTATTTATCTAAACCATTTTACCAGGTTTTATCAGTAAAGTTCACAAAGTAAATACGGAATTGTTTCTCTATTCTATTTTAACAGTTTCTAGTGTTAATTATTCTAATTAACCGACAAAAAATCGTTATAATTCTTCTTCGACTATAGTAAATAGTAGCGTAATATTTTTTTCTGTGAATTTTCAAGAAAAAAATATTACACATAGGAATTCATGCATATTAGCTGGTCTCAATCATGTCTCATCTTAAGAAAGAGAAGGCGCATTTATTGAAGAGCCTCGTTCAACATTTAGGGAGGTTTACAAAATTTATGCTTTTTAAGTATATATTGCATATAGTTTTATTTTTGTGGCAGGTTTCTGTTACTTTCGTGTACATAATTAGATAATGATTACACTATACAACGAAATTAATTTCACCAGTGAATAATGAAGATGACAAAAAAAGCAAATGACACACGAAGAGAAAATAGACGCGCATGTAATGTATTCGTAGAAAATGTGAAAGTAACCAAGACCAATATATGAAGTAAACTACTGCATATACACTATGGATAGAGTAAAAAAATACTCATGCTTAAATGCTGTATGTCATGAAACATCTTTGCTTCAAAGTTGCACGTCATACAACCTCCATGCTTCAGAATTGCGCAACATCCATTCTTCAGAACTGAATGTGAAAACGTTTGAGCTTTAAGGTCATATTCAACGTACATGTATTTTACAAGTATCTTTCCCCACTAATACTTTTCCAAAATATTCTTTCAGATTTAAAATTATAGTATCATTGGAGGTTCTTATTAAAAATAAAAATCAGCATACATTAGCAGGCGTTTTGAAAAGATATTAGAAAAATTAACAAAGATATGGTTTTTGCTGACATTTCCTCAAAATCTGATTCAAAGGAGGTATACAGCATTGTCAGACATCATAATTTCGCACAAAGGTCCACCAATTTTAGAATTGTTATTTCAGGGAATTAGAAAATAAAGTTCAAAACTGCGCTGCGTATATCTTTAAAGGATAAAAATGATAAATAAAATAAAATAAATATAAATAAATAAATCAATAAAGTTAAAAAATAAAATGTATAAAAAATTTAAAATTAGATTAAAATTTAAAGAAATCCTCAGTAATGGTGTATGATGGTATCATATTGATGGTATATAAGAATCAAGAAAGAATCATAAACCCTGAGGCAAAGAGCAATAATGAAGTTTTTTTTTGTTTAGTTTTGTTTTGTTTTGTTTTTAATTTATATTGTATTTTTTAATCCAGTATTCTTTGCTGTTCAATTCAATACACATTATGTGATTTGCAAAAAAATTGACAAGTCAAGGCAGGAATAAGAAGGTTTAGCAAACTTAAGACATTCCTATATGTATTATAGGCGTCCTTTAGCTATAATCTGAAGTTATGAAAAAGATAACGAACACTGACCGATCTTAAAAAAAAACCCAAACTACAAACAATACAAATATGTGAACAAGGCAATAAAAACACGGACCCCTGGAAATTCAGAAGGTGGATTCAGGTGCCTAGGAGGAGTAAGCATCCCCTGTTGACCTGTCACATCCGTCGAGACCTATGTGTTTATCAGGTAGACGGAATATTTCGTAGTCAAATTTAGTATAAAAGCAAAGGTCTAACAAATGGTACCTATACCTAAAAGAAGATAAAAATAATGTTTTTTTTTTATGAAAAAGAAATGATTTGCTTTCAGCATTTTTTTCTAGTATGTTAATATATAAGAAATAATCAACGTTTAACACTTTCTAGGATGCATGTTTTCTTAAGAATGAACCTTTAATTTTGAAGTATTGTTGGATGCCCCATTAGAAGAAGTATTTCATCCTACTGACGAACTTTGGGCTAGTTTCAGTAATTGAAAAAGATTTGTCTCTTCCTCACAATACTGTAGTATTGGAAATGATTTAAATCTAGCTTCTGAGAAATCATCACCAATAAATTAATAAGAAAACTGACAGATAAATAATGTTGTATGACAACTGTAATTTACATTCGAAACTTGAAATGGCAGTAGGCAAAACAATTTTTATTTCATAAATATAATATGTCCAAAATAAATAAATAAATAACTAAAACAAACAAACAAACAAACAATCAAAAAAAAAAAAAAAAAAAAAAAAAAAAAGTAAAAACAAAGGGGAAAAACCCCATACGAAACCATAGATGATAGTGAGCAGTATATTATTTTGTAAAAGAAAATATCAGCACTATAATTTAAAAATTTAAAAATTGGTGGCTACGGATAAAAGTTGAAAATATGATTTAAAACGACATAGTTAAATACACGAACACGTCGTCTTTAAACAATCATACAATACATTATAAGAATTGAGACATTATGAGCCCATTCTACGAAAATTTAAAAGGGAAGAGAAAATACTAGTAAAGAGTACTTGTAACACGTTTTCAAGTGTAAAAATTATGAAAGTAACAAGAACTTATTTGTTAACATAAAGTGTTTCTTAAACTTATTTTCATATTAAGCTTAACTGATTACGTGTTGATCAAATAAGAGAGGCATTAGATGTGTTTTCACAATCCAGGTAATTACACAATTAAATAGGCATGTTTTTGCATATCAATTAATCATTCAACTTATCCGTTAAACTGAAAATGGCTCATATCATTTTTTTTGTGAAATACATCGCAATATGTTTTTATCTTCTGTAGGTTCAGCTTTTCTGTCTTTGAGAAATTGTCTCATTTGGAGCTATAGAAAAATATTTTGTACTTTCCATGCAGTAGTCAACACCAAGAAATGATAAATATAGAAAAATACAACTTGCTTAAGTTTCAAAGTACAGCATGCGCGTCCAAAGTAGCCGAATTAATCAAGCTTTCATTTGCAGACAACTAATGTTGATTAACACGGAGAGGGAGAAAGATTGCTGCGTGAATTTATTTAATGTCTTAATATACATCAAACACTTAAAGAAATCTAGCTTTCATTTGGTTATTAGATGCTAGCATATAAAAATTTTGATGTAATTACATTTCCAGCTCATTCTGTGATGGAATGGTATTGTATCTATAGAATGATAATTTTGGGTTACACAATTTTTCAATTAAGGATTATAATCAAGTCGTGAATAATTCATGACAACTCTTGCTATCACTTTGGCCATAACCACGTATGTTTGCAAATAATTACCAAATTTTACTAAATGAAATATTTTTTCTAGATTGATATATACATTACATTTATGAGAATTCGTCTTCATAAAAACGTACTGCATGGTAGATTTGGCGCCATGATTTGGAAAATTTATTGATGTTTGTAATAAGAATGTTTAATTTCATTTTTAACGATTATTTTGTCTGTATGATATGTTTTCCTTTCACTTTATCACCCAGAATTATAGCATCCTAGCATTCAAAAGCACGATTCTCTTAATCACGAAAAGCGAGCAAGAATCAAAAGCAAATATCAAATCGCAACTCGAGTTTTTCTCGTTTGAAAATATATTTATTTTATCGTCAATAAAGGTTATATGACATGCCCTTCAAACATCATTTTTGTTGAATGGCAAAAATAAAAGCTTGTATAGTTAAATTAAAATGGAAGATCTCTTGATGATTACGAAAATAACATACCAAATTGAGAATTTATGGTTTAAATTTACATGAGATTTTAGAATTAAAATTAAAAACACTATCCCACAATACAATTTGAATCTTTTTCCATCTCCAGAACAGCACCTCATTTACCTAGATATGAAAAGACATCGGCACATTCTCAGAATTAATTTAAAAAAGGAGACTATTCTTTTTTTTTTTTTTTTTTTTTAAATATATGCACTGTATGATGTTTCTATCTATTGAGAGAATTTACTTCCGGGTTATTTTATACTGATGTTTAAATCTTATAATCAAGTCTATGTTTTAAATTTGGAATAAAGAGTTTTCTGTGTTTAATTTCGATTCTGATCCTAAATATACAAAGCGTTAAACAGTATCGTTTTTAATTCTTCAATATTTCGATTAATCAATGTCTTTTCATTTCTCTTCCAGAATTTTCAAGAAGAGTAGCTTGAATGGAAAAGTAAGTAATTTTTGCCTTACACTTGTCTTTATTATTTCTTTACACGTTAATTAAATTAAGAACTGCTGTCAATGCAATTAAAATCGGGCATCTTATATCTGCATTGTAAACTCTGTGGAAAAATGGTTCTTAATAAGATTTTCCCGACAGGTTACAGTTTTTCTTGGAAAGAGGGATTTTCTGGACTACTTGACCCACGTCGATCCCATTGGTGAGTCCATACACGTTTTATTTTAAACCAGCTTTGTTGTCGTGCAGTATCTTAATATTCATTTTCCTCGTGTGCTGAGTTCACGGTTTTCTCACCCTATCGTAATCTATTTAACAAATTCACAAGGATGTATCCTAGGATTTGTGAAAAAAATGATTGTGTGTTGTTTAACTCATATAGAGATGTCAACGTATGCTGATGAAGGGCTTCAAGTTTAGACATTTACTCGGCACTCAGGACCATTGATAAGTGAGGGTTCTTTGCCAAAGCCTACCGTGGCAGGGGTCCTCGATCTTTAGTTCTCATCCGGAAAAAACCTCACGATTTTCACTTTTAATGCCGGGCACTTGGCGAAGGAATATTCACTACCTATGTTCACGTCTTAGATTTGACGCAGCGCGGCGAACGAAAATCGATCCCTGACCTCCCCATCACGAAGCGAAAGCCCTACGACAAGACTACCGTGGTCGACTAAAACCGACTAAAACCTTCTAAGAAGAAACTGTATCTAAAATACATGTGTTTGCAGCTAATACTGATATATACATGTATTATATTTCAAAGTTACATGTACAGACTGAAATGAAATCGGGGTGAAAAGGCATCTGTTCTCCTAAAACGAATTTTCCTACTTTTTGAAGGATCGAAATGAATTAAATAAGTTCAATGGAAACCTCTGCTGGAAATCTTTATTTTTTGCAACCGACGGCATAGTTATGAACTCAGAAACCAGACTCTTCTAGAAGCAATGTATTTGTTTGTTTAGTTATAATTTTTAACAGTATTTTTAGGTCACAATAAGAAAAAAACTTATGCACTTTGATTTGAAGGAAGTCAATGGTCTCTCTATTCCTAATGGTGTTTCCATTAACTGACTAATAAGAGATTTGTTGTACATGTATGTTTTGGAAATGTAAAATCCATTTAATAATTGGTTAAAGCCCATTTATTTTCTTTGTTAGGGATAACTATAATTATTTTTATAGAAAAATTGGATTGTCTTAACATATTTGAAAGCGTGCGATAAGAAACTCAATGTGTTATTAATATTAATGGTTCCTTGTCTTTCTCATGATAAACAATTTATACGAATCTGTAAAAAGTATTTAGAAAATGAGATGGAGAGAGGAAAATCCTATTAGGAACAAAGATGTGATTGTTAAACACAAATGTCCACGCAAATCGCAGCACTGTTATGGCGTACTTCAAAGAAATCAACAGAATATAAACGTGCATAAATACATACCTTTTTAAACTGAATTTATATTTGTAAAGGTACTATATTATCTTATGACTTTAACATTCTTTGAAATAACATTGTATACCCCGCTCTGTACTGAATTTGGTTTGGTCACGTTATTTGATAGTCACGTGATAAATGCATGTAATATGTACTGTATGTAGGTCACAAACAAATTTCAATATCGCAAGGGCATACCCTAGTTAAAATTAAAGTAATAGATTGTTTCTACATAACTTGTAGTTTATGGAAAGTGCTGCTGCTTTAAATAGAATTCGCATTTTATTAGTTTAAATTTCAAGTAATCTGACTAATGTCGAAATATGTGTGACCTTTACCAAGTATTTTATGTACATGTGTATTTATTAAATTATGCTATCGATTTTAGGAAAGCAGCAGCACTTTTCAAGTTAAGGAATAAGTCCGTTATGTGTATTCAAAAAATGGTCAAGATCTATTAAGTGTCTGCCCTTGCGAAAAGGCGATTCAATGAGGCACCTCGGCGTGAACATGCACACCCTGTAGACAAAAACACGATAGAATTAATTCAATACATTCTCTCGATATTTTTTAAATAATGACACTAAACAAACGTTTCAGATTTGTATTAATGGTCTACCTAAGATTTGCAAATAATATTCTGTTTGATAATAAAAAACATTTTTCACTGTGAAAAATTACTTGATCCGCCTCTCACTGCACATAAAATGCGTCAAACTTTACCATGATGACGTCATGTCGACAAGTGCATTGCGATCAGTGACTTCTTTATATCTTGCTGTGTGGGATTTAACTAGCGACAAAAATGAATGCAGTGGTAAGTTTTGATGTAGTTCATTACTCTTATGCAGTTTAGATTCGCAAATTATTTCATTTTCTGTTATTGTGAGGAATTGCTATATTTGTGTGATGTCACAGTAAACTTTTCCCGTATAAATTAGGCCCCGCCCCCTTTATGCAGCCTTAACAGAGCTGCGATGAACAATTTGGGATATGAACAATATTTCCTAAACATTCTACTAGTATTTGCATTGTACTAGTATGTGATTATACGAGATTTTGGTTGAGAGATATGTTGTTTTTCGTTAAGATTTAAATTTACCGCTTATTGTTATAAGTCAAAGCCACCATCTTGTGACCTACATATTACATTTCTTTTTAGTTCACTAACTTTAATGACAAAATTGTAATCTAATTTTCACAATAATGACTGATGGATATTTTATTAGAAATGGTAATGGTAATTTAACAACAACGCTTTATGATAAACGTGATGACTTTAACTTTTCAATCGTCAACTTCCCTTACTTATGCAGCAATATACCCTTATCTCCTGCATACGGGGTTTATATCTCTCAGTTGATTCGATACACCAAAGCATGCTCTACGTATGAACAATTTCTAAAACCAGGTAAGTTATTGACAAACAAGTTTATAAAACAAGAATATCAGCAATCTCGTTTAAAGTCATCATTTTCTAAGTTCTATGGTCGATACAATAACCTTGTCTGCAAATACAATCTATCATTAAGTCAAATACTGACTGACTTTTTTCATACTAATTGATAGGCCATTATTTACACACTGAATTTTTCGACGGATTTTTCCATTATTTCCCGATCATGACAAGGATCACACGGCGGGTATGACCGGTCGACAGGGGATGCTCACTCCTCCATGGCACCTGATCCCACCTCTGATGTCTTAGAGGTCCGTGTTTGCTTTGCTCCTATTTTGTAATGTTTAATGGACGTTTGAGCTCAGTACTGTTCGTTATCTCCACATATTTCATAGATTAAACTTAAAATTCAATGGCAATACACTGGGATTATAGAAGTCTCGCGTGGGGTAATTATTGTTCCGTTTATGATCTATCCTGTATCGACAGTTTAGATTTTAACAAACATGATAAAAAAAATGGCTCAAGTAAGGCGGGGAAACTCGCATAAGAATGAGTGATAGTGATGGTTATATGTAGCATGTCTGTAGAAAATCTTGGAGACTTATTCATGACCTCCTTTCTACTTTCGTTTCGCGTGCACGACGTGCAATTCGAATTACTTCCCTTTGTGTCGCTAGTTTACAACGACCATAGCGACAGAAGATTTTGGTTCAATATTCATTACATGTATGACATTTGAAATAACTTATACAGTGTCTAAATATTCAAACATATTAATTTTAAAAGAAAGAAATTAATTAGGAATCTGTCCCTAACAAAATAATATTTACAGCTACGATTAGGTTTTGGAGTTGTTTAAAACATTAAACGATTTTCAAATTTGATAAATGATCAAGAGATATTATATTTCGATACTGAATAAAAAACTTAAACAGAAATGAAAATTCTGAAGAACAAATAGAGTTCAAAACAAACGGAAATAGACGATTTTTCTCAAATGACACCAATGATCAAGTATTTATTTACCATGCACTCTTTGTTTATATCTATGTAATTTTTAACTTGCTATAACGGTTCAATTTTCTCCAATCCGGATGTTGCCTAATCCGGCCAAAAATTTTGGAACCACTGGTCGCCGGATTAGACAAGTTTTACTGTATAAGCTGCATGAGAAGTGCTAACTATTGATGGTGAATTTTGACACAGTTGTTTGTTGTTGAACCATGGCTGCATTTTCCCAGATTTTACCGATTGTCTAATGCAAAATAGGTCCATATGTATTACACGGATGCTCATTTAGGAGCTATCAAAAATATTTATAAATCTATATAGCGTATTGTCGAATTCGTTTAAACGAATTCGATTTGTTAAAACAAATTTTTGAATTTATCGTTCCTTGCAGTTTTTAACTATCCACATTTGATTAACATCACTTCTTGAATATGTTATTGTGCACTAATATTACTAATGAAGTTTCTCCTTCACTGTACATGTTGTTAATATTTTCGTGAGGAAGAAAGAAGGGCTTGGAAACATTTACTAAAACCCACTACGTATCTTTGTAAGGATTTTTACGACGTTTTAGAATCCAGTATAGGTATTGTAAATAGAATTCAATTTGGTTGCTGGAAATATTTAAAATGTTTTGAACTTGTTTTTTTAAGAATTTCATCCTTAGAAAGGGAAATATGAGTTAGGTTGGATTGCAACTTGTAGAATTAAATCTGAGTTCTTCTAAAATAAAACTGTAATAATGAGCCTTATGAACAAAGGAGACTATGTTGTTACATACTTTGTCAGCTGGGATCAGTGCGCACTGAACATGCATGTCATCTATGTAATTCTTTAGTCAGTGCTGAATTACTGAAAACAGAAGGGTTGATGGTTTTCATATTGCCTCTCAGCCGTTCACCTCGAGGTTTCAAAATACACCCTTTAGTTTTAATCCATTCTGAGGTCTTCGCTTTCATATTTGATACATTTGACCCCATCGCCTGGCATCTTAGACAGACATTATAATATTTGTGAAATCTTGTCGCCAGTTGAATGATCGGGGTTCCCTAAACTTTGGCACTTTTAAAATAAGCGATTTAAGGTCCTCATTGTTATCTATATTAACGTCATCAGTATTGACGTGGCCAGCAGGACAATAAAGTTGGGAGAAGAACATGAATAGATAATCGGACCACTTTTCCTAGTACAAAGGATATAAAGTTCAAGAAGTATATTTCTTTGCTTGATTGATTGATTCTATGTTGTTTTAAGTATGTTGTTTTACTCAAATAGAGACGTTACCATATACCGGTGAAGGGCTTCACATTTAGACCTTTACTCAGCACTCAGGGCCATTGAGTAGTGAGGGTTCTTTATCGTGCCAACGCCTACCGTGATTCGGGGCTTCTGTTTTTAAGGTCTCATCCGAAGGACCCCGCAACTTTCACTTCAAAGGGCCGAGCGCTTGGCGAAGGAACAGTTGCTATCTATTTTTTATCGACTTAGGCCAGTTGCATACGACCTTCCGATCACGGAGTGAGCGCTCTATCTTTGCTATAGAAAAGGTTATTTGTGCGTAAACAATGTAAATGTTTGTAATCGTATGTAGATAAGAAGATAATCATTAAAATATCTTATGCATTGAAAGAAAATAAATCTTAATTAAATAAAGCACTATCCTATCTTTTTATTTTTACTAAAGTTTTATACAGACTTGCATTTCATATTATCAATCACTAATGAATGTTAATAAAGTTAAATTGTAATGAACTGCAACTTCTTTTTTCATATGAATACTATCGATTTGAAAATCTCTAGCACTAAAGAGGGTTTATTTAGTGCTTATGGACAACGCTAAGTGTTTTCCTAATATATATCTGTATTGACATGTTTTAATGAGTAGCAATAAACGCTAACATTAGGGCATTATCTAGGCAGTTTTATGTGTGGTATGCATTTAATATCTCTGCGAGTATCAGAATTTGTAGCCCCTTTAAGACTGATAATTCCAAGATCAGCTTGAAATTATTCCAATACAACGCTTTGCAATTACTAGCAATAGAACAGATCATAATAGCTAAAAGTATAACATTGTTTACATTAATGCTTATAGGTTTTGCCTTTATTTTATGTATGAGCAATCTTAATCAGGAATTTCCCGGTGATCGTGAGATATTCCCTTCCAGAAAAGAACTTATTTCAAAAGAGCATTTTGTTCTGAGATAAAACACATCTTAAAAATAATTTTCAAAATGATTATATGTTAAAACTGCAATTGGGTATATTATAGCGAGTAATATTAATACGAATTTTATGCTAATATCATTCATTTTAATTCGATATTTTCTGCTTTTATTGACGAAAAATGTTTAACTTGTAATATATAGAAAGTAGTACTTTATGACGGGGTTGTATCGGTTTTGCCAGGAGGTAAATGTCGTGACTCGAAAATACACATTTTGAAGCTGCTTTAAAAACATATATTTGTAACAAAAATCGTTCGCAAAATGCAATTTTTTTTTCTTCTTCTATGTAATGGGACTTGATTAAAAACGCTCCAGCGAAACATTTCTTTAAATATTATTAAACATTTCTTGATATCCTCTGAAAACTTTGTTTTAAATTGTTTCATTGTTCTGTAACACAGTCTAAGATAAGACGTGACTCCACAACGTGACAAAGGGATAAAAGAGGAAAAGCAGGACTATGCTGCGTGTTTTAACGGAATTTTGACAACATATTCCTTGTCAATACGGATTAGGCTCTTTGAGGCTCTGATAAAGTGGAGAGCCAATTATTCTTTAAAACAGAGATTGAGGGTTTTTCAATCAAATGACATTGATTTTTTTCATAAAAAAAGTTTATCACAATGGAAATAAAGATAAGTATAAGAAATTCTGAATTGACGGAAATTAAATAAATATGAAGATCAATATCTAACGTCAATGTGTATTAGGGAATACATAAATACATGCTGAAGGAATAGAATAGATTATGGAAAAGAAATATGTTTTTATACATGGAAATAAATGTCTATTTTTTTTTAATTTTAATTATAAAAACAATATAAGTAAATTGAGGTGCATTTTGAACATAGGATTAATATGAAAAAACTTTATTAACTGTACTAAATACGAAAGCAACATTTGGGACTACGCCTGAAAGTAATTAAACTGAAAACAATTATTAGTTCTTATATTAAATTTTTTTAAGGGCACTTCACTTTTAATTGATTTGGTCACCTTAAATCACATATTTTTATTCTGGTAGTTTTTGTAGGATTTATGACGGTTAGTTGGTGGTTACATTCATAAAGAGTTGATAATGGCAACGTACATGTCGGGTAGTTAATGGCAACGTTTATGACAAGCAGTTAATGGCAACGTTTATGATGGGTAGTTCATGGCAAGGTTAATTACAGGATAGTTAACAGCAAGGTTCATGATGGGTAGTTGAGGGATAGTTCAAAAGTTTAATGACAGGATAGTTAACAGCAAGGTTCATTATGGATAGTTCATGGGTAAGTAATGGCAGGGTCCATGACGGGCAGTTAATGACAAGGTTCATGACGGGCAGGTAATGAAGGTTCATGTATGTTCATTATAGGTTTCAAACGTATGTGTACTGTAAAAAAAACAACCAACCCACGTGTTGTATATTTGCCAGTAGATTTGAATAGTGTAGCTGATGTTTAATATGAAAATTTGTTCAACATATGTTTCAAAGATGTGACGGTGATATACTTGAAATATTTGATAAGCTTACGTTTTTAAAACATTTTAATATAGTTTGCCTGTTTTATATGCCATTGGTTAACACACGTTTCATTTTTATTTTTTATATAAACTAAATTCCCTTTTTAGGAAAATAAGCACGGAGAATTCCTTTTCAAACATAAACGAACACTTTTCGTACATTTAGGGTAGTCCGATCCTCAGGTTCTGAAAATCAGCTTCTAGTATTGGAAAATGCTCACAAAAAGTCTCTGATATCAAAGAGTAACGTGAATTAACTTATGGTATTTCTTCAAAGTTCATCATTATAGTTAATCATATTACATAGGGAAAAATTATCAAATTTCAAATACATTTTCAACGAGCTATGCATTTTCTAATTAAAAATTGATCAACAAATATATTTTAGGATAACAAAATATAGGTATCCAGGCATTTGGAGAGAATTGCATCTTTTTATGCTTATAGAGTATTTTAGTTCTTCTATTTATTTCAATTTTTATATGGTACATAGTGTAAAAAGTTTATGCTATCATTGCTATACATCACAGATCACGTCTAATTTCATATCACGCTAATTAGCATTGGTATCTAATGCTAGATTAAAGGAAATTCGATTTCTCTAAAAATGAATTAATTAATTTCTTTTATGGGGTACAAATGTCAACTTTTTACAAGACTGTTTCTAAGACTTCAAAGAACCTTGAATCATATTGGGATGGATAAAATGAAAATTGTTGCACGAAAAGATCTCAATTACAAGCTTCGTTTTGAGACTTTTTAAATAAAATAATAAATTTAAGAGTTATCCTTCCTGGCTGAGGATCGGATATCCTTAAACGTATATAAATAAATATAGCTTGATCTTCGTATGTACATTTCTCTACATTGAACATTATACAATTATGGACTCTTTCGGTGGTGAATATGGTTTGTTATTCACCAGAAAAATATCAATATTGACCGAGGCGAAGCCGAGGTCAATATTGATATTTTTCTGGTGAATAACAAACCATATTCACCACCGAAAGAGTCCATAATTGTTTTATTATATAGTCCGGATTTGAATAAATAAGACATTGAAGGCTGCATGATGATACCACTTCAATTTACGAACTTCTGTCGTAGAAAAATTAAAAAAATGTTCAGATTACAAATTATAACTTCCGTGTTTTCCTTTTGCTGTTTGTAAGACGTCGTAATGTTTAGAAAATAATCCTGCGATAGGCTTGGCTAATGTTTTTCCTGCTCAGATAAACAGCTGGCCCCGGCCGTTGCAACCATTGTTTACAACGTTGTTTGAGGTTTTGATTGTGACGTCACAATGCCACTGCACGTGCACCGACCCTCCGGTGAATACGGCTTCAAAACCAGTGAATATGTAGTGTTATGAACTGTTTGCATTTGTATAGATCATATAGAGACTATAAATAGACTATACAATAATATATTATAATTACATGTAGATGGCGTAGTTTTAGTGGACCCAGAATGTGTTAAAGACCAGAAGAAGGTATTTGTTCAAGTTCTCGGGGCGTTTCGATACGGCAGAGAAGACCTGGATATCATTGGTCTATCCTTTCGGAAGGATTTATTTATCGCCACCATACAGGTGTATCCGCCAGTTGTGGAACAGCAGAAGCCACTGACGCCATTGCAAGAGCGGTTACTATCCATACTAGGACCCAATGCATATCCTTTCTTCTTCGAGGTAATTAAAATAATGAAGACGTAATGCTGATATCGCATGAAACTGCTTTCTATCATTTTAATCACAATATTTTTTCATGAAATAATTTGCAAAAGACACAGCTGTTCCATACCTTAACATGCAATAAAATTAGGTCCCAATAGTTTAATTAGCCAGACAGTGAAAAGCATCACGTGTTATCTCTTATGGTGATTTGCGTGTTTGATTTATAAAGTCGAGAAATTTATAATAGTTTGTTGTTACATTTATAAGACTGGTTCAAATCATTATTTATGTAAGCTTACAAATTAATGGTGAGTTCTTGGACAAATATTTGTGTGTGCGTATTTTCTTCAGTTATTCTTGGTTCTGCCTGGCCTCAGCTTAAACCTTGCTCATAACCTTTGAAGTAAATACTAGTAGCACTACCATGGATATTGCAAACATAGTTCAAATGTTAACTTTGAGTAAGGGAATGTGTTCTCTGACTCATGGTCTTAGAAAGGTCAAGACAACATGAAATTCTTGTCCGCTCCATAATTTATCTTGTTATAGCGACACATTACCATCTTAGGAACAATGATAGAGATTGCAGTCATAGGATCTGTCATTATCCTAAACTGGAATATTTTGACAGGGCCGAAGTCAAATTTGTCCGGACCACGCTTGGGGTCATTTGAATTTCACAAACAGGTTGTTTTAACTACAACTGAATTCAAATGATATATTGACAAATACACGAAACAAGAGTTTAGTTCGTTACTCCATCTTGACAAATAATTCACCATTTAAGAATTTTTGAATTATATAAAACCAATTACTGAACATCAAAGAAATCATGATGGTTGCTGAAAGTGATTTTTATTTTATGTCCACTTCGAATTAATAGCTGAAGTGATTTTATGTCGTATAGCAATTACCCCAGTAGAACATCAAAACCAGGTAATTTTTCTCAACATGGTTTTCACTTCTAGAAATTATAACTAGGGAGTTGTGTGGTTCCAAGCATTAAAATACCAGATAATAAATTGTATCTTAATAATTGTTTTTACTGATTGTCTTCATTATATAGATTCCCCCAAACACTCCAAGTTCCGTCACGTTACAGCAAACACCTGGAGAGGATGGTAAGGTGAGAGACGTAATATATTTATCACGTGATGCATGTATATCACATGACCTGATATAGGTCTTAAAATATTCGTTTCCCACACTCCGTATTTCGATACTGAGCGTTATCTTATAAGCAAATACCTGTGAGGGCATTTTTGAGCATCTATAAACATGAAAGATCGAGGTAGATTTTCAAAAAAGTTTAAATAATAACATCATGGAAACAACAATCTTCAAATTAGATCTTTTTTAACGGTGCAACGTTGTTGACTAGCATCACTAAAGTTGATGAAAACTGAGGCTTAGGTATTATTGTATTATTCCTCACTTTATGACATAAACCTTATGATGTATATTAGTGTAAAACTATCAAGACATATTAAATTAAACATTCATACCACAAAATACTAATACACTGATAATGTGTACTACAAAATTTTTGTCTTATTCCATTTCTCTTTATTCAAATCCTTGGAGAACAAGTTTTAAAATAGGCATTTTAAATAGGAAAACATTTCATTTAGTACTGAAATTCAAAAACAGTCTTGGTGGAGTGGTTTATTTTTAAATGCATCTGAATAGAGACTCTTTATTTAAATCACACAAAGATAAACGGGAGCGAATTCAAAGTACGGAACATCATAATGAGGTGAAATGTTGCCTGCGAAATCTGGCGTGATAAACAACAATTTTCTTACTTTGATGTATACTACTAGTAATTCGGCGGTCTTTTTCTTGTTTTTCTCTAGACGTAAAATTACTCTCAAATACAGCTACAAGATATAGTTTTCTTAATGCTTGTAGACAAACGACTTGCTACTTTTTTCTGAGAATCATTGTGTAGAATTAAGGAAAAATATATTTATGTATCATCACTCTTCTTTATCTGTCTGGCAGAAATAGTTATGTGAAGGAAGAAGGTCTCTTTGCTCAGTGAATGATATTTTTCTTTTATCATGACAATTTGCTAACACAAAATGGGGTAAAATGAAGCAGTAGTCATTGTAATATATCATTCGTGGCAAATTTTCAGAAGAATAATTGAAGCTGATAATTTCACAAAGAAAAACGCAGTGATTTATTAATTATAGATTATCTCTCGTATTTATGGAGTATTTCCCCATTATACATCGTCGGAGGCCCTAAATTCGTCATTACCCTGAAGTCTTGCCCATTTTATTTTTCCCGAGTATCTGGCAAGATTGTGCCCGCTGTTGCACCAAACATCGTTAAAAAGTAGCTTCTGTTCAACGTATATAGTTTATGATTACAGTAAGAATATTTTCTAGAAAAAAAAATCTAAGATCAAAATTTATTTGGATAAGAATGCTCAAATTTGTACGTGGAGATATGGAGATTTCTTTTAGTATCAGAAAAACATTATTACTCTGAACTCATATTGATTGCTATGAGATATTCAATTCGCAAACAAAGCCATTTCTATCCTTATGATGTTGGAGATGATATCCGTTTACATGTTCAGACGTTGAAATACATTCAAAAAAATTATTTGTGCAAACTGCCATGAGCTCAAAAACGTACAATGCCTCATTCACTTTCATATCATCAAAAAAAAGTTCATTATGGTTCTCAAAACATTCTTATTCTCAAATCGTCGCAATAAATGCCGGATCCTACTTGATCAATCAATCAAATAAAAATGAAATAGCAATAAAAATAGTATAGACGTCTTCATACATGTATGAAATGAATATTGACAAAAGGTTTTATGATTTATAAGACCATTTCGTTTATGCTGTACTTTTAAAAGTCCATATGTATGCAACCTCCCCGTTCAGTCGCTAAATATTTGACTTAAACCTCAATGATATTTTTAATATTTAGATTTTTCCAACAGGTCAAAAAAAAAATCATAAAATATTTTTTTAAAAAAGCAACCACAATGTGAATAGAAAAAATGAAGAAAAAAAACTTTCATATTTTTTTTAAAATGATGGTTAAAAAAAAATTCTTTATTTAAGATGAATACAGAGTAAAACTTCTCTAATGTATGTCTCAGTTATGTATTAATGAACAAGGACTGAGCAAACCACCAGTTTCCAAGACGTTTAAAATCAGGTCGTTTTCTGACCTATTTCAGCAGATGTATATTGTTAGTAATAGAATCTTAAAGTGCTTCTCTCTCTCACTATTGTAGAGTAAACACATCATTACTTTCGCTCTTGCACTATCGATTATTGCAAATTACACTCTGAAAGTTTACAAAAAAAGAAACATCTTTGACAGAAAATTCAGCAAAACCCATTGAGTCTAGTAAATGCAAGTTTCAGATGTTTCCTCCAATAAATCTTTTCTGGTATGAAAATAACTAAAGATCTCTACAGGGATTTTTTTTAAATTAAATTTTTTAATGTTGTTTGACTTCCAATATCTCCATGGAAAATGACAAACCTGTTTCTTTGCGAGCACGAAACTATCCAAAAACAGTGAATCTGATTGCTGATTGAAGAACTTAAAGCAAGAACTCCCATGGTATCTGTTAAGCTAATTTTCAGTCACGATCCTAAACTTACAATGAACTTGACATTGTTTCAGAAAGAAGTTAACATAAAATAAAAACACGAAGCTATGTGTAACAGAGGTATAACAGATTCCAAAAAAAATATCTACTCTGACAATTTCATTTTCTATTTAGGTTCACTTGAGCCACTCAGGCGACCTATTGCTATCTGATTTTTGTCCGTCATCGTTCGTCGACAATAAACCTTTTAGAAATTTCAGCTTTTTCTCTGGATAGGCTGAACCAATTTCAACAACTTTTGGTGTATAGCATCTATAGGTGAGGGGAATTATATTTAAATTCCATGGTCTCTCTGCCTCCCTGGGGCCTGCAGGGTGGGACCAAAACAATAAAAGCTATTGTAAACTACAAACTTATCTTGCTTTACTCTTAACCAAGCCGTCAAATAGTTGACAGGATTATAAGAAGCAATAAGTCCTTAAACTTTGAAATTTATTTGCCCTGGGTTCAGAATCATGAGTAGGGCTAAGTTAGCTCAAGTTTCTTTTTTTGTTTGTTTGTTGATTTACGTCTCTCTCGAGAATTTTTCACTCATATGGAGACGCCACCACTTGCCGGTGGAGGGCTGCAAATTTTGACCTATTGTTAGTAATAGAAACTTTATTTTACCGTATTTTAATTCCTAGATATCGAGCTAAAAACTTTTTCTGTACTTCTGGACATCTAGTAGGCATACTGTTCTGGACATCTAGCTGGCATTTAGTCTGTTTGCATAATCCCTCCACCAAAAATGTAAAAGAGATAGGTCCATGGTTCAGACTTTTGGGTGTGGAGAAATTGGTTAAATATGAAATAAAACTTTTAAATATTTTTCACTCATTAACATCTAACAGGCAAACTAGACGCAAAATATTTCTATTTACATAAATACATTGAATACTTACCCTTTTACAAATATAGTAAAATCAATTGCCCCCTGAGTCCAGGGTCCAGGCCTCAGGTTGGGTTACATAAAAGACATGATCTATCCTTTCATTGTCAAATTAAAAGCATTTGAAACTATTGCACCTATATATCACATAATTTAATATAAGTAAAGATGAGGAAGGTGTTGATTTTGCTTTAAAATGCTTCATTAATGTCTCTTCTAATCTAGCCGTGTGGTGTTGACTACCAATTGAAAACACACCTTGCAGAAAGCCTGGATGACAAACCAGAAAGACTGTGAGTAATGAAATAAGATATTGTAAATTATGGTGTCTTTAGTGGAGGTACTGTAAACCAACTTTAATTCGGGAGCGAAAAAATCTGCGACTTTTTATCATGTGTATCTCTGCCAAATATTTTTTTCATTATGTATTCATGTGGAATATTTCATGAAAAGCGATCCTTGGGTGTGAATAAATTGAAAATTAATCGTCGCAGATAGATTTCAAACTGCTAAATGCGAATGAAAATTGTCGTTGATAATAGATGGTTTAAGGTATCGTAAAAACAAATTCATTAACATGATGAGTTTTCATCTTGTATTTTTGTATATACCTCCTACCAGTTAATTCACAACTCCAAAGTTAAAAATATTTCCTCTTTTCTCCCGTTAAATATTTTATAACATATTTGTCACTTGTTTTCTTATTTCAAGAGTGACCATGTACAAAATATTCCAGATTCATATGTTAATATATTGTAAAACAATTTTAAGAACGACAGTAAGGATGGCCATACGTAAACTGACCTACGCTCCTAGCGATGTAAGAGCCCCTCCACCGAAGGCTGAACTTAACAAAAATGGGATCAAGCTGGAGGCCTCGTTGTTGAAGGAAGTAAGTACTTTTTTAAATTACAAATCATATAAATTCTCTCTTTATAATGACTGAAGCAATTCTAGATATTTACAAGCACGGAATTGTGTTGGTAAACTATTTTTAGGAATTCTTATGGCTGTATACCACTAATAGTACTGAAACATATATATTTTGTTTTTGTTAAAAGCATCGAAAATGACCATTTTTTTTACAAAAAATGTACAATATTTCAGTGTAGTCAGACAAAATTTCAAAAGCACGAGAACAGTAATAGTTACTTTAAGCTAATATGAAAGATAATTAAGCTTGATACACAAGAAATATTTAACCATTTTTGCATGGTAAACAGAGTTAAGAACGACTTGAAGCCTGTCAAGGGCCCTCCAACCACTGTAATATGAAAAGAACTAGTAGTTCTGGTCCCAGGATCACGAAACAGACTTAGACTTAAGTCAATTTTTCAATCGCTTGCAAAATGTTTATTAATAACTAATTTAATCTCTAAATTTGCAGATAACAACAATTTTGTAAAGCAATATTGAAAAACATTTTGACTTTATACTACTTGACCCCTACAAAAATTTAGTGTAACATAAAGATTTTGACTTAAGCTTAAGATGTTTCATGATCCTGGGCCCTGAAGTCGTATAACTGAGGTGTATTTTTTTGGTTTATCTTTTTCAGAAATACTACCACGGAGAAAGTGTTGACGTACATATCACGATAGACAATACTTCAAATAAAACCATCAAAAAGATCAAACTGTCTGGTAATGTCTTTTTCTCCTGGAAATATGGCCCTCTGCAAAGAGCTATAAACCCTATATCTGATACATCAATAGGTTTGGTAAATTTTCCTCTTCAGAAAGATTTGTAGAAAATTTTGCCCCGAATGGTATTTTAATGTGTTGAACGTGTTTGAATTTAATTTTCATGTTTATTTTCTATCAGAAAATTTTATTCATTACCAAAAAAACAAAACAAAAACAAAAACAACAACAACAACAACAACAACAACAAAACAATATAATGAATAAAATTAAAAACAAACAAACAAAAAACCTAAATAACCCAAATAAAAAACAAAAAGCAGCAACAAGAGAGAGAGAGAGAGAGAGAGAGAGAGAGGAACAAAATAGGAAACAACAAAAAACATATGTATCCGGCTACCTTGGATATCCCTTCTTATTAGCTCACCTGAGCTGAAAGCTCAAGTGAGCTTTTCTGATCACCCGTTGTCCGTCGTCCGTCCGTCCGTCTGTCCGTCTGTCCGTCCGTCCGTCTGTAAACTTTTCACATTTTCAACTTCTTCTCAAGAACCACTGGGCCAATTTTAACCAAACTTGGTACAAAGTATCCTTGGGGGAAGGGGAGTTTAAATTGTTAAAATAAAGGGCCAAGTCCCCTTACAAGGGGAGATAATCAAGAAAAGACAAAAATAGGGTGGGGTCATTAAAAAATCTTCTTCTCAAGAACCACTGGGCCAGAAAAGCTGAAACTTATGTGGAAGCATCCTGGGATAGTGTAGATTCTAAATTGTAAAAATCATGACCCCCGGGGGTAGGGCGGGGCCACAATAGGGAATCCAAGTTTTACATTGAAATATATAGGAAAAATCTTTAAAAATCTTCTTCTCAAGAACCACTGAGCCAGAAAGGCTGAAACTTATGTGGAAGCATCCTGGGGTAGTGTAGATTCTAAATTGTAAAAATCATGACCCCCGGGGGTAGGGCGGGGCCACAAAAGGGAATCCAAGTTTTACATTGAAATATATAGGAAAAATCTTTAAAAATCTTCTTCTCAAGAACCACTGAGCCAGAAAAGCTGAAACTTATGTGGAAGCATCCTGGGGTAGTGTAGATTCTAAATTGTAAAAATCATGACCCCCGGGGGTAGGGCGGGGCCACAATAGGGAATTCAAGTTTTACATTGAAATATATAGGAAAAATCTTTAAAAATCTTCTTCTCAAGAACCACTGAGCCAAAAAACCTGAAACTTATGTGGAAGCATCCTGGGGTAGTGTAGATTCTAAATTGTTCAAATCATGACCCCCGGGGGTAGGGCGGGGCCACAATAGGAAATACAAGTTTTACATTGAAATATATAGGAAAAATCTTTAAAAAATCTTCTTCTCAAGAACCACTGAGCCAGAAAAGCTGAAACTTATGTGGAAGCATCCTGGGGTAGTGTAGATTCTAAATTGTTCAAATCATGACCCCTGGGGGTAGGGCGGGGCCACAATAGGGAATTCAAGTTTTACATTGAAATATATAGGAAAAATCTTTAAAAATCTTCTTCTCAAGAACCACTGAGCCAGAAAAGCTGAAACTTATGTGGAAGCATCCTGGGGTAGTGTAGATTCTAAATTGTAAAAATCATGACCCCCGGGGGTAGGGCGGGGCCACAATAGGAAATACAAGTTTTACATTGAAATATATAGGAAAAATCTTTAAAAATCTTCTTCTCAAGAACCACTGAGCCAGAAAAGCTGAAACTTATGTGGAAGCATCCTGGGGTAGTGTAGATTCTAAATTGTTCAAATCATGACCCCCGGGGGTAGGGCGGGGCCACAATAGGAAATACAAGTTTTACATTGAAATATATAGGGAAAATCTTTAAAAATCTTCTCAAGAACCACTGAGCCAGAAAAGCTGAAACTTATGTGGAAGCATCCTGGGGTAGTGTAGATTCTAAATTGTTCAAATCATGACCCCCGGGGGTAGGGCAGGGCCACAATAGGGAATCCAAGTTTAACATTGAAATATATATAGGAAAAATCTTCTTCTCAAGAACCACTGAGCCAGAAAAGCTGAAACTTATGTGGAAGCATCCTCAAGTAGTGTACACTCTAAATTGTTCAAATCATGACCCAGGGGATAGGGCGGGGCCACAATAGGGGGAATCCCAAGTTTTACATTGAAATATATAGGAAAAATCTTTAAAAATCTTCTCAAGAACCACTGGACCAGAAAAACTGAAACTTATGTGGAAGCATCCAGGGGTAGTGTAGATTCTAAATTGTTCAAATCATGGCCCCTGGGGGGAGGGTGGGGCCACAATAGGTATTACAAGGGGGGAAGTCTGGTAATGAACAGCATGGCCAAAGTTACTCAGGTGAGCGATGTGGCCCATGGGCCTCTTGTTTCCTATCTAAGCCTTTTGTTACTCCACTCGTCATAGTTGATTGACTACATGTTAACATGCATGATAACAAAGCAAAATACAAAGAAAGCAATGCAAGATAGCGGGAAAAAACCCCCAAAATGAATGTGGTGTTTGCATGTCTTATATTTTCTGTATCAATTGTCTTTATTTTGATCCCCATTCAATGTATGCTTTAAGAATTAAAGAATTGTTCGATAAAGCAAGTTACTTGTGCGTGCAGCTTTATTTCTCTCGCCACGAACAATTTTTTTTGTCAAACAGATAACATAAGAGCATTGATTAATGAAAGTGCCAAAAATGTTTCAAATCCTTAAAGTACAGAGATATAATAAATGTTATTTATGGCTCTGCTAGTAGTCCAAAGGTCTGAGTCACCTTCAACGTTTTGGAGAAAAATATAGTTTTATTTGAAAAGTAAAAATATACAAAAAATCCTTTCGTTCTTGGATAAAAACATGAACTAACACAAAACAAAACTACTTGAGTATTTTGAAAATGTATTCATACGATACATTATGTAGGATTGTTGTTTAAATTTTAGATAATTTGATTCAATTCCTCGCATAAGGGAAACTTTTAAAGCAAGAATTCCTTATGTGCTCAGCATTAGCATACACAAAGGATAGAGAAAATACAAGAAAGCATAGTGAATATAAAAATACGAGCAGGAATCTATCCCAAAACAGTGAATCTGATTGCTGTATGAGGAACTTAAAGCAAGAACTCCCATGGAACTAATTTCAGTCATGATTCTGATCTTGCTTGAACTTGAAATTTTTTCAGAAAGAGGTCAACATAAAACGAACGAAGCTAATATATGAAACAGAGGTGAAACAGCTAAAAATTATCAATTCTGAAATTTCCATATTGAAGGTTCACCTGAGTCACCCAGGGGCTCTATTGTTATCTGTTTTCATCGTGCGTCGGTGATAACCTTCTGAACATTTTCTAAGCTTTTTCTCTGGAATCGCTGAAGCCTTTTCTGATATTAAGCATTTATTGTGAGTGGAGTCCTTTACCAATGATGTAAAATTCATAACCTTAGTTGCTTGGTTCAGGCTCTAGGGTGGGGCTAAGTGGGCTTAGTTGTTCTTATACTAAAAATGTATTGCATCTTTAAAAATTATCTTTACACTCGTGGACATCGTAGGGGCAATATGCATGATCACAATGAACAATAAGTCTTTTACCAAAACTGTAAAATTTATGACCTCTTGGTTATAGTCTTAGGGTGGAGTAAACTTTATCATGTTTCGAAAAATGCACTATATATTTTTTAAAACACTGACTCCTAGATATGAAGCCCCCCCCCCCCCCCAAAAAAAAAACAAAAAAAACAACTGTTAGCATGAATATGGGCCCTCAGTCAAGATCAACTTTCATTTATATAACAGATGCCTTCATTTCAATCAAGTCAAGATGCATACAAACTTACTCTATATTTTTTCACGATTTATATACTGCTGCATCTTCTCTAGTGCTTCACTTTTTTCTTATTTGGTCTAAAGTTTTTTGAATTTACTTTAATAACGTCATTTATTATTCTTTCAGTTGTGCAAAAGACCATGGTAACCCTACATGTATTGTGTGAAGAAGAACAAGAACTAAAAATCCCGGACCAAAACTTTCAGTAAGTGCAGGAATTTCATCAAAACACCTCAAATCATAATTTCATTATTAAACACTTCAATTCTATGGATTATTTTTCCTTATGTTCGTCCTTTGAAATATTTGAAAAAAATCTTGTGTAGATCAAATTATTTGCAGAGCCGTTTACAAATTTTGTTGCACTTATGGTTTGTACTTTCGGTTTCCAGAGAAGGATTCCCTATCAGGGCTGGTCAGACGGGATTTTGTAGGATGTACCATCTCACACCATTAATAGAGAACAATAGAGACAAGAGAGGCCTAGCCCTGGACGGCAAACTGAAGCACGAAGATACAAACCTAGCGTGCTCAACTAAGTTAGTTTAACCACTAAATAGTGTTTTTGTCCTGTTCACAACTCGTTTTGTTTACCGGATTTATGAGGTTGATCAATGTTTGTTATCTTCACATTTACATTTTAACCACTATATACATGTAGTCTAAACGCCTAGCTCATGGACTGATTGGTTTACAATGTTTACATTGTTGGGAGCACTGAAAATTTACTTTTTAACCGATAGACATGTTTCATGCCATTTTGTAAAAAAGAGTAGAACTTAAGCAAAAAATTCTACATGTCTTCTTTTTAATAAAGGGCTTACTATGCCACAAAACTATTTAAAGGCAGAGATTTTGAGCACCGCCTTCAAAAGAAACCTGGTCTGTGAACCTCCGTCAATCAAGTGCATTAAAGTCCATCATTGGTGCTAGAATTTGATTGACATTTACTTACTAGTCCCTGTGTATACCCTGTACACCTTGTTGGCACTCGTGGTGACCTTCACATTAACTTTTGGTCCTTTGATATTTACAGCACATGGTATAAAGAAGCTGTATTACTATTAGAAATTTTTAGCTTGATATTAACCTTTAGTATTTGAAATAATTATAGTTTTCTTCATGAAAATATATCAAACTTTGGTATAATAGTTATTTTTTAAAACTAAATTTTGATTTACAGTATAATCGATTCGGTATTCAAACTTGAATTGAGAGAACATATTAATTTGGATATGCTAAACATAAAGTGGAAATGTCATGCAATTAAATCTAAAATTATTCAAAAATGTTTATAATCATGATTACATAGTTATTTTGCTTCATAATTCAGATAAGACTTTATATGCACAATTCTCTTTGAGCATGTTTAGACATGGTGACAAAAGTTAGGATATACCTATATTTAAAAAAATGCAGGTAATACAGCTCTATTTTCATATTTTATAGATGGGATCCCAGATATGAATGTATAAAGTCTGATTCAGTACCTATTTCTCCTGTACACATTTCTGAGGGATTTTTTCTTCTATGTACATACACAACAATTCACGAAATTCTCTCAACATGGGGCTTGTTACTGGAATATTGTTTTTTATTTTTTTTGAATTAACACAAATACTACATGTAGCATCTAAAACTCTTTCTTGTTTTATTATGTCTCAACTCAGGTAAAGTTTGACTTCTTGGGTATTTTATTGTGTATTAAATCACTTCCTGTGTATAGGTATTAGGAGACTAATGACCATAGGTAGACTGCTAGCTCTCATGATATTCATTCCTGTACAAAATAAGCCCCTCCCTCACCTGGAATTTACCACCCGGTAAAAATCTCTGCCTATATGAAAAAAAAAAAACAAACATCATATCCGCAAGCACTAAAATATATACGTTTAATCAACCACTAATCTTTTTACTTTTATTCTTAAATTCAATTTGTGATTTTTTTATTGTATGTGTATATTCCGAGAAATAATTTGTTAAAATATTCTGTGTCATTTACAATGAATGACTACGTGTCATTCTGTCATAGTGGTGTGGACTAATGTTTTTATTTCCAATCGTTAAAGTACAATTAAAGCGTTCGTAGAGGGGAAATTAGCCCCCCCCCTCCCCCCGTAATACCAGAATCTTGTATACTTACAGGATGTCAGAGAATCTGCAGAAGGAGAATTCTGGGATTATTGTGGCCTACAAGGTTGTCATCAAGCTTGTTCTGGGATTTGGCTCTTCGTAAGTTTTAATGGATATTACTTTGATGAGATCCATATTAGTGGAAAATTCTCAACAGGGACGTTAAACAACAACTTTGCGACAATTCGGAATTCTTAGACTATATTAACCTTCCGAAGAGAGATAACTCTGATATATCACTCTTTTCCCTGATTTTGTTTTTGATATTTTGACATTTGATTTCTTTCAGGCATTAACATCTTACAATTGATCCAGAATGCAATTTTCTTAAATTGATTTGTTTCAAATTTTCTCGTATGGTAAACTACATTTGATTGAACTTTAATTTTTATCTTGAACTTCAGTCAGAAAATTGTCAAACATTATCTTTTAAAAATATTAGAAGAGAGTAGCTGTGCTTTGAAACTAGACAAAAAAATGACATTATAGTAGTTTAGTTACATTGAAATAATCATAAAGGAAAATAACTTGTTTGTAATTGTTTCAGTGACGTAGTTTTAGAGCTGCCTTTCACATTGACCCACCCAATTCCAGATCATCCCTCTAGAACAAGTAGCTTCCGAAGTTCTGTGGCAGACGATACACTTATTCCTAGGTAGAACTGTCTATAGAATAAAGAATTTCTTATTTTTCACATTTTGGTCAAGAAATACATACATGCATTTGAATAAAATCATTTCTTTTGTCAGGATTCTGCTTCAAGATTTTATCTTACGAAAATGTCCATTTCGTAGTTTTATCGATATTTTTTCTTTAAGCTTTGTCCTTTATTATAAATTTTTACATCAATTGAAAGGTGATCCAAAGTTCAAGTTGAAATTATCAAAGATAAAGGCAATGATGTATCTTTTCTGCAATGTAGCTCACATTCAGAGAGTGATATGCTTGATGTTTTTAAATTATTTTTTATTATAGTGAAGACATGATGGAGGACGATTTAGTGTTTCAGGAGTTTAACAGGGCACCAATCGCCGAGCCTGAGAATTTTAAGGATACAGTTCCCCAAGAGAATAGCGATGAATAAAGATACAATTATCGACGACATTCACCAAGAAAAGAATGATGAATAAATATATGATTATCGACAACATTCACTGACATTCGGAATTCTCCTTGTCTGTCTGCTATATTTGTTGTATTTAACAGTAAAATTATGAACCATTGTCAAAATATTTTGCAGAATGTAGTTGTGCTCTGTTTTTTGATTTTCTGCAATCATCAATTAGAAAAATACTGTGAATAATGAGACAACATATCAACATGTTTTTCTATTTTCCTCTCCTCAGTTATTTCCAAAAACAACAGCTTCTAGCTAGGGTTTCTCCATCCTCATGGGAAAACATAGGGTTTTTAATTTTTTTTGTGTGCAAAATCTTTCATTTATATAACTTCATCCCGATAGAAATACATGAAATATGGAGATAACGAACAGTATTCAAAGTCAAAGTCTATTACAACAATACAAATCGGGAGCAGAGCAAATACGGACCTCTAAAAACATCAGAGGTGAGATCAGGTACCATCAGGAGTGAGCATCCGCCGTGTGCTCCTTGTCATGATCGGGAAATAACGGAAAAATCCGTCGACAATTCAGTGTGTAAATAATGGCCTAACAATTGATATGAAAAACGTCAGTCAGCATATGACTTAATGATAGATTGTTTTTGCTGACAAGGTCATTGTATCGACCATAGAACTTACGAAATGATGACTTTGATATTCTTGTTTCGTCAACTTGTTTGTCAATAACTTACCTCGTTTTAGAAATTGTTCATACGTAGAGCATGCTCTCTCGTATCGAATCAACCGAGAGATATACATGTCATATGCAGGTGATAAGGGTAAAAGTTAAAGTCATCACGTTTATCATAAAGTTTTGTTGTTAAATTACCATTAACGTCTTTTTTCTAGTAAAATATCCAAATATGAAACAGATGTGTCAGACTCTGTGGTATCTTTTATTTAAATCTCACTGGGATATATCGTGTCGACATATAAATGGAAATAACTATTGTTAATTGATAATGCATCTTTTGGAGGAATGTTTTTCAATTAGTGAAAAAAAAATGGTTTTGTAAAAGAAATAGATTTTTAAAAAATTCTGTACTTAATCAATTATTTTATTTTTTAAAAGTGCTGCAAAAGGTAATAACTCACTCTTTTTATTTCTTAATTAAAAAAAATTAAACCAGAGTTTCCTGATATCAATAACTTATAGATATTTTTGAAGTAAAGATTACTTGAAACTTTAAATGTTAAGATTATGCCATTTGAACAATTTTTTTTAAATTCTTCTTTTTACCAAAATTGTTTTTTTTTTATGTTTCATGTACTTCTGTTAATTTATTTCAGACATCTTTAAAAAGGTGGCAACCTTAACATTTTCTCTAATCATTATTACAATGAACTATATTAAGAGAAATTGGTACAGTTTTTCTACTTTGGATCATTAAAAATGTGAGGATGGAGGCATCGTAGTGGTTTGATTTTAGTTCTTGATGTAAAGATTGTAATTTTGCTACAATGGAGTCATATATATGTACTTACTTCATCATTGTTCTTCAAGGGTTTCCAGACTAATTTTCCAAACTTAAGCCGTCTTTTGTTCTCTAAAATCTTTGTTACTTATATACAACTATAGTAATTCATATATTTTTGACCATTAGTAATAAAAATAAAATGAACAAATAGGTCCTAAATTGTTTTGTTTATTATTTCAAACAAAGAACTGATTTTAACCAACAAAGATTAACAATTAATGTTAACAGGTGAATTGTTCCTTTGTTAGCAAACTTATGATGCAGAATTTATTCAAAAACTTCTATTTGTGTTTGGTAGAAAATGCATGATGATTTTTTTTAAATTTATTGAAAAGCTGTTCAAGGCAATGGAGATAATTTCATGGTGATCTAATTTTCGTATGACTTCACAATTTGTCAAGATTTTTCAACCTTTTAAAAAAAATGATACGACCAAAAAAACTGCAATTAATGAAACTGACACTTTGATTTCTTACAGTAACCATTAAAAAGTGTTTTTATATATTCATGATACACATAAATATTCTTTTTTGTTTGCAAGCATTAATTTGTGTTTATTAATTCTTTTTTCCTTGTTTTGTACTGTTTTTAATATGGTAGGGCTAATGTCTGTTAAAAATTATCGAAGAAATACAAATTAAACCAAGTAATGGTTATAAGACCTGATAGGTCTTTGTAAGTTAACTGTTTAGGTTGTTGTTAAAGACGACAATGCTTTTTGGGAAAAAAGGTACAGTTGTATAATCTATCGTTAGGTCGATTGTTGACGGAAGTCTTTCATTCAAATTGTTAGGCCATTATTTTCACATTGAATTGTCTACGGATTTTTTCCGTTTACCCGATCATGAAATACGGCACATGGCGTTTTGACAGGACGACAGGGAATGCTCACTCCTCCATGACACCTTATCCCACATTTATGCTCTAAATTCACCAGTTCAACCGAACATAAATTATTTATAAAATAAAACTCAAAACTCTTTTATATAGGATGAGCTCGCATGCGCGAGTGCAACAGACTTTAATGAAGTGCATACAGTATACAAGGCAGTCTTTAGTTTGACCTTTTATCCATATCATTCTACAAAAGAAAAAGACTCAAATAAAGCAACAACATCAAAACGAACAAAACATGTACGAAATATCGGTACTGGAAGGGGTGGGGTGGGGGATTAGTCTGTTGCAACGTAGCAGCGAACTTCGAATGACTTGAAACACCCGAAAATCTACCTTATACGTGACTGAATCATGCGTAGCAAGGATTCAACCTATTCACCCTTAAACAAAATGAACAACCAATCGATCTCCTTTACCGATAGACCATCTCTGCATACATAGCAAACACACGTGTTTTCCCGTAACTTTTATCAATATATCTGTTTTCAGAGGACCTTGTTTGCTATGCTTACAATCTGTATTGTTTCATAGGACTTTTGAGCCTGATTACTGTTTGGTATCTCCATATTTCATGATAACACGTTGCCAATGCTACAAGTATCCACGTGCTTATAAATCAATACTGTTCGTTAGACACCAAGGTATTTCTTTAAACACCTGAACATCAAGAAATATCTTTACAGAACTGGTAGTGCATAAGACTGGAAATAAATTTTAAACCACCTTGCTCCATTAACTTCCCGATTCATTGTCTACTGCAATTTAAACTCTCCCATTTCAAATGTTAAAATGTTATATAAAACTACCATAACGATATCTTTATTTGAATGTGATACAAGCGTTTTAGACCTGAATACACAAATACCTGTTAATATTTCCACACGTGACTATGACGTATGAAGTCCCATGATATGATATTTCCCAATGTGTATACGATATGGAGAATCTTTTGTGACATAAAATCGTATGTTAATCAATGACATGTAAGAAAAATTAACTAAATGAGAAACTAGTTAACTTAACAATATCCTCAACCACCATATAAAAGCTCCTGAATGGTGTTTAGATATCAATCAACTGTCTCAAGTTGACAGGAAATCCGTACATGTACGAGTATATTTACAATGTACGCATTATGTAACGTGTATTTGATAAATGTACACATTATAAACCTTAAAAATAGAATCTTATCTTACACATGTTTATCATGACAAGTTTATCGACGAAAACGGAACTCCGTATATAGCGCTATGTAACTAAAATCCTTTATTGCAAACTCAGCCAGCCATATGACGTGATAGTTTATTTTTGTCATTCGCTATTGCCTAACCTACCTGGGTACCAGATAGATAAAACCGTCTGAAGAACAAGCTTTTTAGTGAACATATTTGAGATAAAACGATGGAAAAAGGTGGATATTCAAATCCCAACCCACCACCTCCTCCGTATTCCTCAGTTGGGCGTAAGTTAATTTTCATTAAATATTACTGAATATAATAAGTATAATCTGATGTAGGTCACCTTGTTTTAAAGCAAATGTAAACGCTGATAATTTAAAATGTCGTTTTGCGTTCCAAAAATTCTAGATATTTTAGAGCTTCCTTCTGTCGTTATAAATAGAATACTGGTATTGTATGTTGTGTTCACCTGTGGTTGAATTACAATAAAACAGAACCGAAAATATTTTTCCTTGTTATTGTAAATTAAACACAATTTTTAAATTTAGTAAGTAACTCTAAAAAAGTTATTTTAGATATTAGATAGCCTTGCTTGACCGATTTTGCATTTATATGAAATACCCAATATCACAAAAGTAAATAATTAAATAAATTGATAGATAATAAATGCATCAGAGTTTCTTTGTGGTTGAATGCAGTTAGAGTATGCGAAGAATTACAAAAACAAACGAGGAAACAAGATATAGATCGTGATTTATGAATATGGAAGTAGAATGTAATATTCAAAAGAAAAAAAAAACCCACAAAAGTGCCGCGTATTGTTGTAACACAATGCTGTCGCAGGTGTCATGTATATTACTGTTATCTTTGCTATGAAAATCAATACAAGGTCAATATCGAGTCTCGTTGAACTCTACTAAAAATAATCTATATTAACCTACAAAATTTCAGTATGTGTTATCTTTGAGGTTAGTGTTTAACTCTTTGGCCATATGCATGTATACTTAGAGAATTTCTTATTAATATGTCTTACTTTAAAGGATGTGGTACTTTGGTTTTAGCATAGTTTATCAGTCTAGCTTTCTGTCAAAAAGTTCTGTCCAAGCCGACTGGAATTAATTAAATCCAGGTACATGTATTAGGATGACCATAGCATAGAACTGTATGATCACCTTGACTCTCAAGATGGTATCCAAAAGTCAGCATTAATTAGGGATTTAGGGAATGTACCATTTTTTAACTTAATAAAAACCGAATTACATTCAAAAAATAATTAAATTTTGTAGATTTTAGTGCATTTAAGAAGTCTGGACGCCTGTGATATACTAGTAATTAATTAGTCTGATGAAGAATTGAAAAATATCAAATTAAATTGAATATGCGAAGGATAATTTCAATCGATGAAGGAAACATAATAAATTCAATACTTTTAATACCTTTACTTTTGAATGAACATTCTAATAAATGAAATATGAAGAAAACGAACAGTAATCAAGCTCAAAAGTCCAATGAAACAATACAAATCTGGAGCAGAGCAAAAACATCAGAGGTGGGATCAGGTGCAATGGAGGAGTAAGGATCTTCTTTCAACCGGTCACAAACGCCTTGGACTCCTTGTCGTGATCGGGTATAAAACGGAAAAATCCGTAAACAATTCTGTGTGAAAATAATGGCCGAACAATATGTATAAAATCCTCAGTCAACTTTTTGAACAGGGTCATTGTATTGACCATAGAATTTGCGAAACTTTGACTTTAAATGAGACTGTTGATATCATTGTATCATCAACTTATATGACATTTGCTTGCTGCGTATCAAATCAACTGCGAGACGTAAGCTCAATATGCAAGTAATAATGGTATATTGGTACATAGATAAGGGAAGTTGACGATAGAAAAGTCGAAGTCGTAACAATTATCATAAAGTTTAATTGTTAGTTTGCCTAATGTCTTTCTCTGTAAAATATCCAAATATGAAAAATATGTGTCAGACTCTGTGGTGTCTTTTATGTTGAGTTCAAAGGGATACATCCAATCAACGTAGGAATGAAAATGAATATTGTTAATTGATAAAACGTCGCCGATATATCTGAATGTCGTGTGGAAGGCCACAGCAAGAAACTTCTTTTTCAATTTCAATGTTACCTAATAAATTTCAATGATATCTGAGAAATTTCAATAAAACCTCATAAATTTCGCTGATATCTTATAAATTTTACTAATAATTTTCAATGATACCTAATAAATTTTAATTATACCTTATGAATTTTAATGATATTTTATTACAGAAACAACAGTAGTTGTTGCACAACAACCTCTAGTGGCCGTGCAGTTGTTCCGGGAAGCTCCAGTGCGCACGCGCTGTCAATACTGTAGTAGTGAAATCCTCACAAGCACTGCATATGAAACAGGAACTGTCACTTGGTTGGCATGCGCAATTACAGCTTTTGTTGGGTAGGTTTAAAGATTAAGATTTACATTCCATGTGAATGGTTCATTTTCTATAAATTCATATAATCTATTTGTAACTTAAAATGGTAAAAACTTAATAGTTAAAACATATATTTCATGTATTCATACTAATTAATTGCAAGCATATGAAATTTTTTAGACATGTATAATAAGATATTTTTTTTCTTTAAGATGCTGGCTCGGTTGTTGCCTGATTCCATTTTGTATTGATGGATGCAAAGATGTGGTACATTCCTGTCCTAACTGTCACCAAGTGATTGCACGATACAACCGGATGTAGGCGTGATTGTGCGATACAACCATCCGTAGACATGAACGACTGGAGTTGAGAAACATAAAATCGGAAGCTAACCGTGCTATCGGAATCAAATCAAAACATTTGTACATAAATTTTGATATTGTGAACAATGTAATTGATTAATATTATCTCATTGTGATCTAAAAAACGCAGGATTTTTAATTGCACTCTGATAACGAAATACATAAGCCTGTCAATATGTTGTATAAATCATTGTACATACGTGATATATTTTTTAATTGTGGCATCATGTTTTACTGTTGTTTTTAATTAAACTGTTCTTTCTTGTTTTAATGATCATTGTTTGTTATTCTTTTTTATATAAGTAAAAAGTTGAAGTATGTAAGAATCGAGTAGGCACACGAAATCCAAAATATTCATTCGAACATTCATGCCAGAAAATCTATATATTATAAGACATGCACACTTCAGTGAGAGTTATGTTATTTGCCAAAATAATTTAATTGTGTACAGATTATTGCTATGAAATATTTATATGCAATTAAATTCTTAGAGGAGAACTTTGTTAAAAAAAAAAGATATACTTTTTCTTTTAAGACCCCAGTTAGCTACGTGTATGTCAACGGGCTTCTGATGATTATTGCCAGAAATCTGCTGGGTCAAAATAAATTGTACAACGTTCTTGATTAATTTTGTATTTACATACAATACTATTTATAAGCGAAATAGTGAAATTTACCATACTGCATGCGATTTGCATAGCAGGAGGATAAAACGTACTCCCAACTAGGACCTAACATAAAGCATATAAAATCTTTCAAATTTAAGTCGACAAAACTATCTTATGAATTGAGAAAGGACTTGCATGACAACCTGGAACTGGAATAATTTCTTGACAAACTAGAAATGAGGAGATATAATAACTTAATAAGATTTCCGTCTTAATCAATACTTCAGTCAATCTTTGGTATCCATACCATGAATTTAGGATAATGTTTGTATCATTAATTAGTTTCGTTTTAAAAAAAAATTGTCAGGAAAGCTTTATATGGGCGTGGGGGTGTCTCGGAATAAAGAAGCGCTTCATCCTAAAAATAAAGTTTGATCTCCGAAACAATAGCTTTTGAGGTTAAAGTAATATGACAAATATTTTGCTGATAATATTCATAAACACAAAATGTGATCTGCACACACACACACACACACACACACACACACACACACACACATTCTTGCATTATATGGTTTCTATTGCGAAATCAATTCCTATTTTAAAGAACTTTTTTTCCTTCAAACGTCTTCCATGGATGGGTTCTAAAAAGGGGCTAGAGAGAGAGAGAGAGAGAGAGAGAGAGAGAGCTTTTGTGGTCAATAGGTTTATTTTTCTGTTCTTAAAAGAAGATATTGTTTGTATGTGAATTCTTTGAACGGGGAAGTTTGGTGTGGTTGCATTGGGATAAAGTCGACTAAGATTCTTTTTTAGAGTTAAAGGTCAAGGGCCATGGGTTTTTTTTTGTTGCCAAAAATGAATATTTTGGCTTCCTCTCAGTAATATAAGATATTTTTGTATTGATATGGAACAGGGAGATAAGCTGTCTATCGTGTTGTTAATTTTGAATTTACTAGATGGAGGTAAAAGCAATTACAACATGATAACTAGCTAAATTAACACGTATTAATTAAAGACCTTATACCTATAAGCATGAAAGAATGTTAATCTATACTCAATTGCAAACAGGTTTGATATACCCATGGACATATCATGTTGTAGATTTTGAATTTACTAAGCTGAAGTAAATGCAAAATTTACAACATGATATGTCCATGTATCTACATGTACATTGTTTCCAACTGAGTAAAGATTAACATTCTTTCATGCTTAAGTATTAAATCTTTAATTTTCACGGATAATTCTATGATGTTTTAAATTACGCCAAATGTTCGAAATGAAGCACTTTTTTTCTTTTCTTTTTACAAATGTTGTCCTCCTGACACTAAGTGCTCTTGTTATTCAGGGTTTTTTTTTATCCTCCAAACAATAGAATTACTATTCAATTTGTTATCGAAGACATCGAGTTTAAAATTCTTACACAGCAAGATAAGCATGATATATATTCATGGGGTACCTTGAATTACGATCGATATCCGGTAAACACATACTCCTCGACAAAAGCTTAAAATATCGCGCAGCAATTATATAGTCTACCTTTAACGACTACCTGTAACATTTCAGATTTATGTCAGTGTAGCTTATTTAAACGCATATATCGGGTTAAGTGTATCTCCAAGTTTGAATTTGATACCATTTGACTGCAATGTTGGAATTGATATAAAAGATAATGAGTAATAATCAAGGTATGTGTTTTTCACTGCTTTTAAGACAATGTTTTTCAATAATGCTCCTCGGTTCATTTTGTTTAATTTGAATACATTAATTAGTTCTTTTAAGTTTTCCAAAACACAACATTTTCCACACTATTTTTTTTTTTTTTTTAAAAAAAAAAAAAAGATAATTCATACAAATATTCCAAAGTTTTTTTTCTTTTAAATTGTATTTACTTCCTTGTTCAATGGATTTGGTGAAATCTATTGACCTGTAAAAAATCGATCATTCTGTTTAAAGCACCAGCACATAATTCAATGCCAAGTGTTTATATATATAGACGTGTGTCATTTAATTTAATCTTTTGAAGCAACCGGTGTACCTCTAGAGCGAATGTATTCCAACATAAACAGGACTAATGTTTTCAGTGAAACATAATTACATTTTCATGTATAATATTTCATAATAGTAAATGCAATGTATGATTGTAGGAAAAGTTTTCTTTAATTATTTAAAAAATTTTCTCTAAGTTACAATGTCTACCCCATTAATACTAAAGAATTTATATAATTAAGTATGCCAAGGGGGTCATAATTTACATTTCAAGACAAGACCGCAATTATAATCCAACCAGAAGAAAAGGGTGACCCAATTTTCCAGGAATGGCCGGTTCACACGGAATGTCCACATTGTGGTAGCAGTATCCTGACCTCCCTGGAGTACGAGGCCGGAACGCTCACATGGATCATGTGTTTCTTCTTAATGTTTATTGGGTACGCAGACATCTTTGTTATACTTGTTTCTTGAAATGTATGGCTCCGTTTTAACGAAAGGAAATTTGACTGAGTTCATCATATTTCTATGATATTCATATAGTTGAAATATTTTATAACTAGATTGATGAAAATATTATGAAACCCTTTCATTTTTGTAAAGGAAACATTTGCTGATCTATCTTTGCTCTCGTTTGTATGACTGTATTTAAAAATTACTAAAAAAAAATCTCACATTTTTTTAAATCAATAAGCCTCTTTCTCCAAGATAATGCTTGGTTTTTCTATATTAATCAGATTTAGGGTAATTCAATAGTCTATTCTATGTATCCTCAGGAATAAAATATTTAAATGAGGAACGTTACATTTCTTTCTTTAGGCTTTTCCTCGGATGCTGTTTCATTCCATTTTGTTTGGATGGATGTAAAGACATTGCTCACATTTGTCCCAATTGTAAAAAGGAAGTTGGAAGATATTACCGGATGTGACATAGAAGATGGAAGTCATACTGTATATCAAATTCGAAACTGTGCCAAACGATCAAAGTATAATGTCGTTATGCTAAAATATTAATTCATGTGGTTGACAATCTTCATGTCTCTCCTTGCCATACTGTCTTTCCACAATTTTTTTTAAAAAATAAATTTTGTTGTTATGACTACTTTATTTGTGGAAAGACAATACAACTTGTATATTTTGACACACAAGGAAAGTGATTTCATATAATCCGTCCATACATGCAATGATACTTGGATAAACCAAGGTGCAATATATATTATGTAGAAAAATATTCTTGTTTTTTTTTCAATATAGACATGAATAATAACAAAATATGACAGGATTTCTCAGTACATGTAATTATAGTCTTAAGTCTATAATTTTTTATCATTGAATAGGGTAAAAAATCGACAATTTGCAAGATTTGGGTTAATATTTTTTCAAAGTATTTCCTTTATCAAAATTCATCTTGGATACTACAAAATGTAAAATATGGCATACAAATTTATCTACCTTTTTGCATTGTATAGCTCCCGTATATAAAAGCATTTACAAAACGATTTTCCCTGAACAGGACTACACGAGATGATATTGCAAGTATTTGCCACCCATATAATTCTGTTTTCCAAATAAATTTTATCCTTAATATGAGACTAATTTTGAAAAGACTTGTACATAGGGTGCCTAAGGTCTTTTCCATTAAGGATTTAAAAGCCTATGATATAGAGAGGGAAACTTTTTCATGTAGAATAACGAAGTTTCAAAGCATGTTCCTTCAAGTCCATATTCAATGAAATATTGTATCTCCTGTCCTTATCTTATTCTATCATACGTTAAGAAATATTTACATTTGAATTATCTGCATTTCTCTTTCCTTCTATGACAATACTCACAAAATTGGCATTCAATTTTCGATGACATGAAGTTTGTCACATGACCAGACTTTCTTGTGTATGGAAAGCAAACTGCAAGAGACACAAGTCTAGACTTTGAAAAAAATAAAATTTCTAAAAATATGGACCATATTAACGCACTTTGAAGAAAATTAAATGGGTATGGTTTGGTCTATTTTCTTGCAAAATTTAAGGTATGATAAATAATTGAATCTGGTTGGATAACTTTTCGGTGATGAAGTCACTTCAGGATCTGAGATATAGACGTTATAAATATTTTAGGATCTCGTAAATGTTATAAAAGGGAAATGGGTCTTTTAGAAATAATGGAGAAATGATCATGATTGTTTAATAGCATAATTTCGTTTCTTTTAATTTTTTTTTTCTTGTATGTAATAAGTTCGGTAGATGTGGGGGAGGGGGGGGGGGGGAGGCTATAAGTGATCGACTGAAAGCATCGCATTTTTTTTAAGAAAAAGGGCAATTTTGATTTTTCTATACTATGAAAATTCTTTCTCATACGTTTTACTGTACTTAGAATTTTCTAGTTTTCATCTGTTTTATAGCATAGGCATCGAAACCGGGGGGGGGGGGGGGGGGGGGGCTAGGGGGCTTAGCCTCCACTTTTATTGCAAAGATATACATAATACATATACATAATACAGGCATTGAAAATTGGGGCTTACCTTTTTATTTGGTTTAGCCCCCTTTCAATTACCTCCCCCCCACCACTTTCAATTTGCTATACACATATACCGACGCCTACAAGTATGTATAAGATAAAGAGTTAGGCTGAGAGACCTTCTACCCGTCTTCTGCTCGTTCTCGATGAGGGTAAATCAATACATAAGTTTTTCGAAAAGTATATATAACAAATTAATGCTATCTATTACTAAAATCTAAGTCCAGAATTTTCGTTTTATACGTATTTTTTTCAAAGTGCGTTAAGTGTCTCCATTGTAAAAAATGTTGATGTACATTCTTAACGCACTTTGAAAAAAAATTTCAAAGTGCGTTGATTTTGTCCCAATTTTAACGCACTTTGAAAAATTTTTCAATGTGCGTAATTTTTTCAAAGTGCGTTGCCACAGTGCATCTTTTATTGTAACACAATTGAGAATATAAGTATAAGAAATAAAATATATATTTTTTTAGAGTTTCATTGGGATAAGACATAAGATTTGTCAGTGATCAAATCCTCTAACACCACTCGTTATAGGATTTGATCACGTGACCAGAGTTGCAGCGTGTGCAGAGTTTAACAAATTGAAAACATCCGGTGAAACGTAAGCATTAACAATAACAGAGCTCGTGCCCTGTTTATAAAACACTTTAAGTTCCACCGAGTGTGTTCAGTTTGTTAAACTCTGCACACATCACTGAGCACGGACTGACAGTTTTGCTTTCTCAGTTTTTTTTTCATTAGTACACAGCAAAATTTCTACTTTTCTTACATGTAAGTATTGATGATTTCAGTCATTGCTATAAAAATCTTTATATCATACAAATATACGCGAAAATCTTTAAGATACGAGAACAAAATTTAGACGAGTTGACGGTCTAACGTCGTTACGCGAAAATAAAGTTCTCGCGAATTAAAAGTGATTTAAAGTTTGAGAGTAATGGCCAAAAGATCAAACTTTGAACAACATAGAAAATAGAAAGTCCATCATTTCTTAATATTTGAGGGTTTTGATATATGCCAAAACAGAGACCAAAAATATACCACTCATGCAGTGTTTTGTTTTTATCACGTATCCTTAATTTGGTTACAAAGAGTGAAAAATTATCAAATCAACTGATTTATATGTATTTGCTAAAGGAAACACTAGAGCTATTTAATCCTTCAAGAACTACTATCAGTCAACTTCAACAAATACTTTTTAATATCAAATCGTCTGCAAACATATCACCACGAAACACTTTTCTTTTTGAGGTCAGAGACCTATTTGCGGAAGCAGTCACGTGACCCATTATTTGGTGTTTTGCAATACAATTTTTACCCCGACATCCTTTGCCTTGTGTTGGTTTGTTTTATATTTCACTTGACGGTTTTTCACAGCTTCGCAGACTTGTTACAATGGCAACATATCCAAGTACGTAATTTTAATATTTTAATTATCTCTTGAACTTTGGGGACAAAAGCAAATCAATTCTGTTTGTGTAAGATTTAAGGTTTTATTTTGTTTAGTAAAAAAATGCTCTAAAAGGCAGATGGGTTAAAAAAATTAAGTTGGTACTCAACATACGAAAAATGATAGCAAAACAAAGGACATGAAATGGAGCAGGGTGATACTTTGAAGCATTTATTTGGTTATTCAATATGAAATTTAATTTATTGAAATCACTGCCTTAAAAACCCTTAAAATATTGTGGATATTTAAAAAAGCAAGAATTTTCAGGTAATATATTTTTGTCGATTTCATGTTTAAGGATACATGTCCATGTATGTGGAAAGAGTTTAGGGAAACACGCTAATCTGAGCCCGGGCTCGAGCAAATTTCAATCAAAAGCACTTAAGATTGAACTTATTAGAAAGGAAGTTTAAAATACCCTTATACAACTGGAGAAGTTTAAAAAAAATCGATTTCATATTAGTAAGGAACACGTAAAGTATTGTTAAACAGTTTTTTTAAACCAGTAAGAGAGAAATTCTCTTGAAATGCATGCATAACTATCGAATTTTATTAGTTCTACGAAGATTGAAAAAAAATTATATTCTATTAATTTATCACATATCTGTCTGTCTTTGTCTATGCCAGAAATGCCTCCGGAAGTTGTGAACTAATCGAGGTTTCAATTAAAGGAACAAAGTATGGTAAAATTGGGCTCCTCGTCTGATATGAAAATGAATGTACAGTAATTATGCTCAGAAGTCCAAATAAGTTATACTAATTATGAGAGGTGCAAACATGGACCTCTTAAACATCATAGGAGGAATCAGGTACCATGAAGGAGTAAGCATCCCCTGTCGATAGGTCACAAGTGCAGTATGAAAGACGTCAGTCAACATTTGACCTAGTAGTAGATTTTACATGTGCATTTGCAACAAAGTAATTGCATCGATCGACACATGAATTTGCAAAATGTTGGCTTTAACCATTAGATTGCTAATACCCTCACCAATTCAGTAGCCTGCCTTCTTTTAGAAATTATTTGGACATGCTCTTGCTGAACAAATCAATTCGGAGACATTAACTCCATATACAGGTGATAATGGTTTGTTTGTTTGTTTATTGTTTTAACGTCCCTCTCGAGAATTTTTCACTCATATGGAGACGCCACCTTTTGACAGCGGAGAGCTGCAAATTTTAACCTATATTCGGCACTGAGGGCCATTGAGCAGTGAGGGATCTTTTTCGTGCCAGCACCTACTGCGACACGGCACCTCGGTTTATACGGTCTCATCCGAAGAACCGGTCTCCACGTCCCACAGTGGGATTCGAACAAGCGACGTAAGGATCAACTCCTTACTCCGCGACTCTAGAGCGAACACTCTAACCACTGCGCGACGCGGGCGACTAATGATAAAGGTATTTTTCTACAAAAATTTTGGAAGTTGGTGATAGAAAAGTTATTTCATCATGTTGATCAATCAAAATCAAATACAGAGTGAAAAAGTTTAACAGTTTGAGGTGAACTCCTAAGGAAAAACAGTTTAGACCAATTAGAGAGAATCAAAATTCCTGATCATTTGATAAAACCTCTTATAACAACCTTTATCTTATGTCCACCTCTGATAAAGGATATTCCAATCTCTGTAGAGAATATCAAAGATAACATGTCCATATTTCATTTACTGATGACTTAGAAGTTTCAATCAACGAATAAGGCCTAATCGATAAATCGTTTGAAATATTACATGTAGAATTACAAGACTGTATATTTATGCCCCTGTAATCGAAGATTCGGGGGCATATAGTTTTTGCCTGTCTGTCTGTCTGTCCGCAAAAACTTTAGCCTTGCCCATAACTTTTGATTGGTTGGAGCTATGGCTTTCATATTTCACAAGTGCATTTCCTGAGAAGACCTTGCTTTGGAAACCAACATCTTTGACCCTTTGACCTTGACCTTGGAGTTTGGCCTACTTTTGAAAAAACTTCAACCTTGGCTATTACTTTTGAACAATTTGAGCTAGGTCTTTCGTACTTCGCATGTGTATTCCCTTTGACAAGACCTTTCTTTGCGTATCAACATCTTTGACCTTTTGACCTTGACCTTGGAGTTTGACCTACTTCAATTTTGAGAAATTTAACCTTGGCCATAACTTTTGAACAGTTAGTGATAGGGTTTTCATACTTCACATATGCTATCCTTGCGAGAAGACCTTCCTTTAGATACCAACAACTTTGACCCTTTGACCTTGACCTTTGAGTTTGATCTACATTTGAAAAAACTTCAACCTTGGCCATAACTTTTGAACAGTTGGAGTTAGGGCTTTCATACTTCACATATGCATTCCTTGTGACAAGACCTTCCTTTAAATACCAACAATTTTGGCAATGACCTTGACCTTGGAGTTTGACCTACCTTTAAAAAATTTTAACATTGGCCATAACACTTGAACGTTTGGTTCTAGGGCTTTCACATTTCACGATCATGTGTATCACTTGTGACAAGAACTTCCCTTGGGCACCATTAGACCTTGACCTTGCCATTTTATTTACTTTAAAAAAAAACTTAACCTTCGCCATAACGTTTCAACGGTTTGTACTAGGGTTTTCATATTTCACAAGTATATTCCTTGAGACAAGACCTTTCTTTGGGTACCAACATTTCTGACTTCTTGACCTGGAGTTTGACTTGCATTTAACAAACTTTAACCTTTGCCATAAGCTGCCATACGGGGACATCAGTGTTTCACAAACACATCTTGTTTATACATGGACTGGATAAACTTAGAAGCACAAGTGATATATCTTAATACCTAAAAGCTAGCAGTATAATTATCAATTTAAATCCTACGAGATGTAGAGCTACATTGTTAAAAATCAAAGATGGACAGTAAGCCCCCAGGCACTCTCAGGTTTTAGATAATTTTTAAGTCGGTGTTGGTATATTTATGCATAATAAGAACAATAACTTTAAAAAAAAAAAAGATTATTCATCTTTACTTAAGTTTGGATCAGTAAAGGAGGGTGAGGGTTGGTCCGGGCCCCTCTCAGTCCGCCAGTGCAATTAGTGTAAACAATATTCTTCCTTGAGGCCCTCTTTGTAAATCACAACTTAAAAAAACATACTGTGAAATCACTTATAGTCGTGGGTTATTTTTTGTTGTTTTCTAGGTATGAAGAAACCCATGGATTCATGTCCACAACGAAATGTAAAATTTCATGTAAATGTCTAGTCAACGCTACTCCAAACACGAAATCAAAATCCCTCAAACCAATATTTTTTTCTCAAACCTCGAAAAATTGATCCCACGAAAATATGTGATTTTACAGTTATATAAAATATAACAATTATTTTATAGTAGTGATAGAAATACATGATAAATACAGTATACATTAACAATATATCTAATAGCAGTCATAATCTCCACACACAGGTTTGCAGTATTTTAAAAAGGTTTAGTTGATCGTTGATTACTTTTGAGTTACCTCATATATCGTCTTGAATTTAAAATTTTTGGTGTGTCTTTTTAATCCGTCTTGGTGTGGACACGCTAGAAAGAATGAAAAAATCCTCATGGATTTAAGGTACAAAAATCATTGCATTAACATTTGTTCATCTTACAGCTACAACCGTTGTTATGCACCATCACCAGCCTAACGTACACATCTTCAGGGAGCTTCCTGTACGCATGCGCTGCCAGTACTGCAATGCAGAAATAACCACCAGCACTACGTACGAAACGGGAACGCTCACCTGGGTCATTGCTGGTATTCTGTTGCTTTTTGGGTAAGTACTTCACACTTTATTATTGCTTTAATGTTACATAGAATAACTCTCATGTATAACGTGCATTTTTCTTAGTGCATTTCCACCATTTCAAATTTCTTTGATTACGAAATAAAAGATACGTTGCAGAATTAAAGAAGGGCAAAGTCAGACTTTCCTATCACAGTTACATATAGTATTACCAAAAGTCTTATCTAATACATTTTTATTTAGGTTAAACGACATCTAAATTAATTAGACAAATTCTTGGATTTGTCCTTCATTTATTGAAAAATCAAAAGAACATACAGAGTATCATACACTGACATATCAGGCTTTCGAACATAAAGAGGATCCATATATTACGCCAAATCGGGGAGGGGGGGGGGGTAATTTGATAAATTTTGCAATCAGAAAACTTTGGAAGATTTGCGTCATGGAATTTTTGAAATTATAATTATACCGAATGTGATTTTATGCAGGTAAAGAATAGGTGTATAATTTACAATTGATTTCGGAAAAATAATTCCCATCTGGAAGGCAAACAAAAATCGCAGAAAAGGTATATGGTAGGTTGTTGTAATTATTAGGTCTGTTTTAATTCTAGGCTTTGGCTTGGATGCTGTTTGATTCCGTTCTGTGTTGACGGATGTAAAGACGTCGTCCACAGGTGTCCCAGTTGTCAACAGGTCGTTGGTAAATTCAACAGGATGTAGTGGATATCTACAGAGAGTCAAAAGTGCCATAGATTCTTCTGAAAGAACATTTTGATTTTTATTAGAAGACAAAAAAGTGTGCCATACTTAATATACCATATAGTGCAGTGTATATACTATTGATGTTTTACTTGAGGGTAGAAACTATGTGCCATACTTTCTTCTTTCCGCCTTAGGGTTAGCTGTGATAATTTTTACTGTGATATTTTTACTATTGTTCAATTAATTTATATATACAGTATTATTCTTCTTTATTAAATGGTTGTTTCTTATTTAATACTTATTACTTTATTCATATCTTCTTAATGTAAACCACACGAAAAGAAGTTGTACCATTATTAAAAAAAAAGAACGTATCAGCAGCCTTAAACATATTGTATGGTAACTTTCGTCTCTTTCTTTGTTTTTATTAAAAAAAAAGAAGAAGAGATGTATGAGCTTTTGAAACAAAAAAAACTTTTTCGTTATGTAAACATTTATTTTGCTGCCTTTTATCAAATGGCCGTTAAGAAGTGGACTAAGAGTAACATAGGATTGACTATATGAATTTATTTTGTTCATCGAGAAATGAATGTAAAAAACGAACCGTACACTTTATAAAAGCCGAAGGCTTTCATAAAAAGTGTGCGATTCATTTTTTAGAATCATTTCTCGATGAACGAAATAATTTATATAGTCAATGCTTATAATTCTATTTCAGTGAAAGTCCTGTTATTTTCATGTACAAATTCATTTTTGGGCGAACTCAAAAAATTGTGCACGAAATTTACATGCCGACAGCTGCGTAGAAATATATCGATTGGAAAATTGCACGATCTAAAAGGCTGTAGTACATAAGGCGGGTATATTTTTTTATGCCCCCATAATCGAAGATTCGGGGGCATATAGTTTTTGCCCTGTCCGTCCGTCTAGAGGTCTGTCTGTCTGTTTGTCCGCAAAAACTTTAACCTTGCCCATAACTTTTGATTGGTTGGAGCTATGGCTTTCATATTTCACATGTCTATTCTTTGTGACAAGACTTTCTTTGGGTACCATAAAATTTGACCTTTTGACCTTGACCTTGGAGTTTGACCCATTTTCGCAATATTTTTTGAGACTTTAACCTTGGCCATAACTTTTGAATAGTTGGTGCTAGGGCTTTCAAACTTCACAGGTGTATACCTTGTGACAAGAAGACCTTCCTTCAGATACCAGCAATTTTGACCCTTTGACCTTGACCTTGGATTTTGACCTACTTTTGGAAAAACATTAACCTTGGCCATACCTTTTAAACCGTTGATGCCAGGACTTTCATATTTCACATGTGTATACCTTGTGACAAGACCTTTCTTTGGATACCAAAAACTTTGACACTTTGACCTTGACCTTGGAGTTTGACCTACTTTTGCAAAACTTTAACCTTGGCCATAACTTTTGAACGGTTGGTGCTAGGGCTTTCATACTTCACATATGCAATTGTTGTGTCAAGTCCTTCCTTTGGATACAAACAACTTTGACCCTTTCACCTTGGAGTTTGACCTACTTTCGAAAGAGTTTAACTTTGGTCATAACTTTTGAACGGTTGGTTCCAGGGCTTTCATATTTCACATGTGTATTTCTTGTTAGAATGCCTTTCCTTGGGCACCATTAATTTTGACCATTTGACCTTGATGTTCGACATACTTTTGAAAAACTTTAACCTTTTCCATATCCATTCAATGGTTGCTGATAGGGTTTTCATATTTCAAAGGTATATTCCTTGAGACAAGACCTTACTTTGGGAATCAACATATTTGATTTGTATTTGAGAGAGTTTAGCCTTTGATATGAGTTGCCGTACGGGGGCATCAGTGTTTCATAAACACATCTTGTTTAAAGTTATAAAAATCAAGTTTTCCCCGTTATGTTATATATTGTCTTTATAATAATTTACTAAGTTATCGATTACGTAAGTTATGAAAATTTAAAACGATTACAACATAAAGCAGGCAGAAACTTGCTTTGTTGTCGGTAAGCAAACGGTCAACGGTGATTCGTCGAGTGGAGTTCAATGGAATATTAAAAAAGAGATATCTTCAGATTAAAAAAAATATAAAAATAAATTTGCTTGTCGATACACCTTAATACACGAACAACTTGACCGACAGTAAACACCCTGTATAAAGTTGATGTGCAGACGAAATACGTGAGAATGTGAGAAAAACACCACCATCAGGTAAACTTAGTCTAAGGTCCTTCTCATTATTTAATTTTTATAACCTACATGTACATAAATTTTTTTTTTCTGGTTTGGATTTCAATTTGTACTAAATTCAGTGTAAATGTGCTTCTTATCCCTTGCCATTCCCGGCATTACCCATTGAAAACAATTACCTCGCTTACTAATTCATTTGAATTTTTTTTTCTTTTCTTTACTCAACAAGAACTTTTATTGTATAATTTAAAATAGAAACACATGATTAAAATATTTCATTTAAAGCACACATAGAAAAACAAAAGGTTTACAGAAGCTGAATTTAAATCATGAAACGTTTGAGAGAGTATTAGTTTATAACACAGTCGTGTTCCTATAATTATTGGAAAGACTTAAACACTGATAAAAATTGTATCAAAAACGTACAGTGAAAAGTCGTTCGGTTTCTGAATTCGAAGTTGACATTACATTCATCGGAAAATGAACAGAAAAATTTCTCCGCAGAAATACATTAATTCAAAGTGATGAAAGTAAGGAAAATTGAATTATAACGTGATAAATACATGTATATAGTTTCGCGCCAAACGTGTTTCATGTTTTATTTCTCGCTTTTCACAGATTTTCGTCCATAGTTGCATCATTGCTTATTCATAGAACCACAGCAGATGTAAACAAAGCGTATAAAAAATAACCAAATTTTAGAGCACAAATATTACGTCAATTTAATGAGGGGGAGAAAAAGCTAAAATTTCAGAAATAATGATCAATCAACTATACTGTAACATCGAAGCTTTTAAAATAATTTGTAACTCCACAAAGTAAAGAAAATAACCTATGTACGAAGCGGACGACTGAAAAAAGAGTCCTCAGATTTTATATTATTAGCTCACCTGAGCCAAAGGCTCAAGTGAGCTTTTCTGATCAAAATTTGTCCGTTGTCTGTCGTCGTTGTCGTCGTTGTTGTCGTTGTCGTTGTAAACTTTTCACATTTTCATCTTCTTCTCAAGAACCACTGGGCCAATTTCAACCAAACTTGCCACAAAGTATCCTTGGGTAAAGGGGATTCAAGTTTGTTCAAATGAAGGGTCACGCCTTCTTCCAAGGGGAGATAATTAAGAATTTGTGAAAAATTAATGGCATCATTAAAAAATCTTCCTCTCAAGAACCACTGTGCTTGAAAATATGAAACTTATGTGGAAGCATCCTCAGGTAGTGTAGATTCAAGTTTGTTCAAATCATGACCCCTGGGGGTCGGGTGGGGCCACAATGGGCGATCAAAGTTTTACATAGGAATATATAGGAAAAATCTTTAAAAATCTTCTTCTCAAGAACAGCAAAGCCATGATTGGTCATATTTACATGGAAGCATCCTCAGATAGTGAACATTTGAATTTGTTCAACTCATGACCCCCTGGGGTCGGGTGGGGCCACAATGGGCGATCAAAGTTTTACATAGGAATATATAGGAAAAATCTTTAAAAATCTTCTTCTTCTCAAGAACAGCAAAGCCATGATTGGTCATATTTACAAGGAAGCATCCTCAGATAGTGTAGATTCAAATTTGTTCAAATCATGACCCCCGGGGATAGGGTGGGGCAACAATGGGCGATCAAAGTTTTACATAGGAATATATAGGAAAAATCTTTAAAAATCTTCTTCTCAAGAACAGCAAAGCCATGATTGGTCATATTTACAAGGAAGCATCTTCAGATAGTGTACATTTGAATTTGTTCAATTAATGATCCCCTGGGGTCGGGTGGGGCCACAATGGGCGATCAAAGTTTTTACATAGGAATATATAGGAAAAATCTTTAAAAATCTTCTTCTCAAGAACAGCAAAGCCATGATTGGTCATATTTACAAGGAAGCATCCTCAGATAGTGTAGATTCAATTCTATTCAAATCATGATCCCCGGGGGTCGGGTGGGGCCACAATGGGCGATCAAAGTTTTACATAGGAATATATAGGAAAAATCTTTAAAAATCTTCTTCTCAAGAACAGCAAAGCCATGATTGGTCATATTTATATGGTAGCATCCTCAGATAGTGTAGATTCAATTCTATTCAAATCATGACCCCCGGGGGTCGGGTGGGGCCACAATGGGCGATCAAAGTTTTACATAGGAATATATAGGAAAAATCTTTAAAAATCTTCTTCTCAAGAACAGCAAACCATGATTGGTCATATTTACAAGGAAGCATCCTCAGATAGTGTAGATTCAAATTTGTTCAAATCATGACCCCCGGGGATAGGGTGGGGCCACAATGGGCGATCAAAGTTTTACATAGGAACACGTAGTAAAAATCTTTAAAAAAACTATTTCTTAAGAACAGCAAAGCCATGATATGCATATTCATATTCATATGGAAGCATTCTTAGATAGTTTACATTCAATTTTGTTCAAACATGACCCCTGGGGGTCGGGTGGGGCCACAATGGATGATCAAAGTTTTACATAGGAATACATAGGTTAGATCTTTAAAAATCTTCTACTCAAGAACAGCAAAGCCATGATTGGTCATATCTAAATGGAAGCATCCTCAGATAATGTAGATTCAAATTTGTTCAATTCATGAACCCCCCCCCCCCCCACTTTTATATTTAAACTTTTCAACCTTTCAAGACTGAACTGATTACTGCTTTTTTCTAGCCATAGTGCTCAGGTGAGCGATGTGGCCCCTGGGCCTCTTGTTAGTTTATCGAGATTGCAGACAGAATTAAGGAGATCTCACAAAAAATTATAAATTCTGTGCCTTGTTCAGTTTTTAAACGAAATGTTCTGAGAAAGTTACATTTGATGAACAAAGATATAAAGTAGACGATTCAGCTGTGAACAGGGTAAAGATTAACAGTTAATTGACCGTGGAAATACTTTGATATTTTTAAGAAATACATGTTGTCCTTGAGTCTACTTAATGAGCGTACGTTTGGAGGAAAGTAGGCAGATTTTGGAAGGCCGAGTACATTCAATACATACATGTAATGACAGCACCCCATCTTGGTTTCATTTAGGGTATGCATTAAAATTTTTCCTCTTCTGGCGTAGGTAGCCTTACTCCTATTGATAATAATTTCAATATAAAGAAGTTGCTCTGTTCAACAATCTTTTGTGGAAATTTACCGCAAAACATTTTTCAATTGGTAATTCACTTTGGCTTTTTTATAGGACAAATTAATTGTCCGTTCATGTCTAGTCCGGCTAAAATTGGAAAAAGCCATCACAGGCACAAAATGTAAATGTTATAAAATGTATGGAAAATCAGAACAGCACCAGATTAATTCTAAACAAAAACATGCCGATGCTGTGTTCCGGATCTGGAGGCCCTTGACTATACACAGTACCTTTACCATACCCCACCAAGACAAATCTAATCTGACCGGAAAGCCAAAGGTCATGCTACGTAATACTGAACGTTTTAGGGCACTGACTTTACAGGTTTGACATGTTATCATACGAACCTTTACAATGTTATATTCGGCTATGCACGGGGGGGGGGGGGGGGGTCGATTTTTACAGAGATTATCCGTATTCTAGGTCATTGTGATATAGACAGCAGGTAACAAAAAATGATGGATCCCTTTCTGAAGTGGCAGCCATTTTCGAGGGATACCTTGAAAGGGAAAAATTGGAAAAAATGAACTTGTGATCGAACTAGTTAAAGGCCAAGGTATTTTGAGACTTTTATTTGTTTGTTTGTTGTTTGACGTCCCTCTCAAGAATTTTATACTCATATGGAGACGCCACCATTTGCAGGTGGAGGGCTGCAAATTTATACCTATATTCGGCACTTAGGGCCACTGAGCAGTGAGGGATCTTTTTCGTGCCAACACCTTCTGCGACATGGGTCCTCGATCGGTTTATACGGTCTAATCCGAAGCCCAGTCTCCACGTCCTGCAGTGGGATTCGAACCCACGACGTAGGGACTAGCTCCTTACTCCGCAACTCTAGAGCAGACACTCTAACAGTAACTACTGCGTCACGCGGGCGATTTTGAGATTTAATTAAAAAAGTGATGACATTTAATTTAGTACCGTGGGAAGATGTAAACATGTATTAATCGCTGGGGTTTATTTTCAAATCATTTCAAATGAATCTTCTAAAAATATACGCAAAGACCGTGTTACTCTAGCGTTTAGTACTGATCAGGGTATCCTCTATGACGTCAAAAAATATATGATTACGTCATTATTATAACTTCAAAGGTGAGTATTTTAAAATATATTTAGGGGGCCATTTATTTTTTTCAAGATCAATTGAAGATCTATCCATTCTTGTTATTAGAGTTGTGTTATTAGTAATTCATTGTCTAGATACCTGATATGATTATTTTCTGGATATCATACAAATGCAGAGATATTTTTCTGATAAACTTTATGCTATTTTCCCCCCGAAACACATGTAGAGATTTTTTCTAGATATCCTGCAGTGATTTTTCTTAGATACCCTATAGAAATTTTTTTTTGTATATCTGTATTGATTTTTTCTAAATAATACAATTTAACAGTATCGAAATGATTTTTTTAATTTCTTTCTGGGTATCCTTTATGATTTTCCCCTTGATTCCCTAACATAGCGATTTTTTCTCTCTTGTAGTTTTTATTATCTTAATACTTTTGTGATTTTTTTTTTCTTCATACCTTTAAGTGATTTTTTTTTCTGGATACCATTTATTTTATACTTTTTTAATGTTATAGACGAAAACAACAGAAAGTTGCAAAAGAAATGCTGTAGCAGAGAGGTTCTAAGTACATTATGGAATTGTACATCGGTTTGTTATTTCTTGCTTTGATGCTTCTATTGGTCGTTACATATGTTTACACTAAAGGCCGTGATCAACTTTACGTCAGACATAAGAACTTGGAAGGAAAAACAGTCATTGTAACTGGTGCAGAGAAAGGCAAGTGTCAAATTACATCAAAACACTATATATATATATTGTAAATCGGTATACTTTTTGACGAATTACATATGTGTGTGTGTGTTTTGGGGACTGATATTGGGCGTGTGCCTAATACTAGACGAACCCCATTTACATGCAGTCATGTCATATAGCAAAAAGCATAAAAAAAGCGTAAACTGCCCCAACCCACTTTATACCGTATAAATTGGGTAGCTATTAATTTCATCCCTTATAATTTAATTTTCATTCATTTATATATATTTACACTAATTTTCATTTTGTGTAAGAAAAAAAGATGATTGCCCTTAAAAATTGACTTCAAATTGCACAGAATTTAACGTAGGTCGCGGGTTTGCAGGCCATTTAAAGGTGTCCGAAAACATACCATGAAAATTAGTTATATGAATCCTCTACCTTCGTTTTATATTCTCTGAAAATTTTATAAAATTCGTCTGCATCGTTTTTGTGTAATTAAATCCTAAACATGCCATTGTTGTCGTGACATTTTCGACGTTATTCTATTGAATTATATAAGAAAAACGTCGTTTTCGGCTCGTTTTGAGGCAAGATTTTGTTTCAAAAAATATCAATAACTTTTAAATGGTCCAGACGAAATTGTTTCCCCTTTGGTATTTTAACAAGGAATTGATTTGAAATAAAACAATGTGAAAAAATTAATATGTCTTCGAGTTAGTTTTCGTGTAATTTAAATGTGGATAGTTGCTTTTATATCGCAAAATGTAACATTTTTAAGAACGACGTCATAAAATATCGCGACGTCATGCTTGACGTCGTGAATATAGATATCCGGTATTCAGTGCAAAAAAATAAGATAAAATAATTTTTATAAAAAAGTAATTCACGTCTATCTGCTTTCAAGAGGCCCGTTAATCGTATCATAATAATTCAATATCAATGAAATGATTATTAGAAATGTTTCTCTTCAGATTAGGCCTTTTGTACGTCTTATATTAGTGGAAATTCTCGCAAGGGACGTAAAACCACAATCAAATGAATCAATCCTTTAGTTTCTTCCAATTTACTTTCTTAATGTGCTGTTTTCTTACCATTTTTTTCTGTTTGTTTTGTTTTGCTTTTTTCGTAGATTAGACGTATCCTTACATTTGGCTGTGTATTTTTCTTTTCCAGCGTGCTGGCGGAAAACGGCATCCTCTAATTCAAGTAATTCAAGTATATAAAATGTTTTTATTTAGACCATTCAACAAGGCGCTCAAATCAACGAATTTCTGCCAAATATCGTCCCGGCTAAATACAATATATTTTCAGTATATATTTAAACAAAATATTTATTTTTACATACCACATTTTCAGAGGGGTAAATGGGACGAGAATTGAAAAATTAATTTTATCTGACGTAATCAACAGCCAGTTTTTTTAGAACATTAATTCTACTTGTTGGACATGGAAAGCAAAGTAGCGAATAAAATCCGTAGGTAACACTAGGAGTGGGACGATCCACCGGTGCACCGATGCATCACAGTATTCACTTTGACGATCTACAGATCGATTCATCTAATTTAGTATCACGATACCTGACCGCACTTTTTTTTAATTTCCAAAAATGTCCGGGCTTTAGAATTCGAAATTTTTAGTCCTTTAGTCTGTATCATCAAGACCTTTAAACAAACACAAATAAAGTACAAACGTCTTTCTGATACAGAATTCAAGATATAAGCGTCAAAATGGCGTCAGACACGCCGGATTATATTAAATTGACTAAAGATTTCTGATTAATTTTAATATAATTGACTGTAATTTGAGTCAAGAAACTTGAATTCACAGTTCATTTGTTGAATTAGTTTGTTTTCATACACTGTTATGTTCCAAATTAAATGTTCTAAAAAAAAATCATAGTTTTATTTGGTTTTAAATGTATCGTTATATGTATCGTATCGCACCTAAGGTATCGTGATATGTATCGGATCGGCTAAGTTCAGTATCGTCCCAGCCCTAGGTAACACCATTGCAAGCTGTTGCTTAGGGGACGATCATTTCATTCGGGGGGGGGGGGGCTTACAGATTTTGGAAATAAATTTATACTGTCTTCAACTGGGCAAGAAAATAAATAATCTGTCCTCGACTGGGCAAGAAAATAAATAATTAATCTGTCCATGACCAGTTCTAGCACCCCCCCCCCACCCCCGGGAGTTTTCAATTTTGATGTTTTCCTTTTTCTTTTTGCTTGTCAGACTTTTTTCAGTGAAGAAGAAATAAATAATCTGTCCTTGTTTTCTTCTTGGAAATAAATAATCTGTCCTTCACCGACATGAAAATAAACAATCTGTCTCGGTAAAATTTGCCACCCCTCTCCCTCAGAATCAAATAGTTGTCCCCTAACAGGAGGTCAGTGTCGCTAAAAATTTGTCTTTATGTTTCATCGTACCTTAGCAGTATTTAATTTATGATAAACTTGTAGATCTATATATTTTTAAAATATCCTTTTTAAAAATAAAGTTTAATCTTTTGATATAACAGGTGTATTTGCGATTTTTTTTAAATAATGGCTTCTTTATTAATAAATCAAACTGTTAATTCAAATACGATCAAAGGAAAAAAGGTCAGTTGAACTTTGTACAACTTCCATATCGTTTCGCGATACCAAGTGAAAACAAATCCATCGCTATTTCTCGGGCCTTTCCGACAAGCCGAAAAACAACCACGTGCACTTGTTTTTCCAAGCTTGCAGGAAAGGCCCGAGAAGATGCGATTGATAACAAATATAATTAAACGTTTTTTAATACTTCCAGTGTCGATCATTCGAATCATAATAAGCTCACTAAATTACCAACTCCAACAAAAGTAATGTCTAAGTATTGTATCGACTATACAAATCGTAAAAAGCCTTCATTATTTGTGATAAGTCGCTGCTTAAATAATACAACACTAAACTACCAGTTCCAAGAAAAGTTAAAACTAAATAATGATATACTGAAGAATTTAATAAAATCATCGCAGATCTCTTTTTCATTGTGACGTCATAATCAAATGTGCACAAGAAAGTCGCCCAAATCATATAAATTGTGTACACAGTTTTAACGACGTCAGCAAACCCGCGACCTACGTTAAATGTAACGTCAGGCGGATCGATACGTTTTTGACGCAAGTCATTGTGACGCAGGCAACCCAATTTATATGATATAAAGTAATTTTTTTATCCAATCAAATGGCGCGTTACAAACAGAATTCAATTATAATAGTTTAAAAAGGACATTCCTTCGGCACATTCAAACTACCCAATATAAAAGGAGTGCCCCTCCCATTTCAATGTTCACTGTAAAAAACAAATGTAGAGTTGTGAAACTTAGCATTCAGTAAAACAATGAAGTATTTAACGTTATTTGTAGCTTCAAGTTGGACGTAAAATAAAATAAAAATAGGTTACGTGAAATGAAATAAAATTCGAATTTTCTTCATTTGCAGGAAAAGGGTTCAATACAGTACTTGAATTAGCTAAAAGAAGAGGGCGTATAATCATGACGTGTGCAGACAAGACAGCCGGAGAATCTGCCAGGCAGCGAATTGTAAAGTTGACAGGAAACACAAATGTTGTCTACAGAGAACTTGACGTCAGTCAGATGTCATCTGTGCGAGCGTTCGTAACGTCATTTAAAATATCGGAGAAAAAGTTGGATATTCTTATCAACAACGCAGAAATGTGCAGTGAGTGATTACTTCTGACTTTTAATCATAGAACTGAAACGATAATTAGAATCCATACCTGATATTAATATTTTAAACTCATGTTTACAGCTAGGAAGAGAACAGTGACAAAAGAAGGCCTCGAATTAATCTTTGCCACCAATTTTTTTGGACCTTATTTGCTGACAACTCTATTACTAGGTATGTTTAAACTGAAAATACAGAAAAGGGGCACAACTAAAACCTCTTATAATCAATAAAACGTTCTTTAAACTAGAAATATTTCTCTTTATTTGAAATTTTGATGCTTACTTAATTAATGTTTAAGTTACATTCTATTATTTTTTATTTCGGATAAATCTTTTTCAATTGAGGAAAGATGTAGGATGCCAATGAATAAACTATGTTAGTAAGAATAATCTAACTGTGTCTCGGGACAGGACCTCAAGTCAGAATGCCCCCCATATACCGGCAATGTAGCACAAAATTGCAGAATTGCTCCGAAACGATTTTGGAGAAAAATAAATGAAGTTGCATTGAAAATAACCATCAAATTTAATCTTAACAAACCTTTTTTAGATTGTAGATATCTTTTATCGAAAAATTTGATCCATATGATGGAAGAATTCAACACTTTTTCATAACGTTTTTAATTGCTTCAAATTTACATGCCATGTTGAAATTCGGAACTCTGAATTTTTCAAAGTAAATGTACCGAGTTAGAGTTATCGCCCGTGTTTGCCTTGCTGCATTACCACAGAACGCATTTCTATCGTTAAACCGGGTCCATTGGACATTACTAATTCTAACGATGGACCATTCTATCTAAAACTATGCCTACATGTATTTCGGTTTTGGTATTCGGTATCTCTTTTACCTAATTCAATATTTTTTTTATAAGAAATCAAAATGTTCATGCTAAGAATCATTCACCCAATATAGATAAGCTTTATACATTTACATACTCTATCTTGTGATTCGCGACAAAGAAATGTCAGTGATTTACAAGTATTTCAATCTAATTCTAGATTTATTAAAGAAGTCACACGGTCGCGTTGTAAATGTAGGCTCTGTTCTTCCTGCATCCATCGAGTTGGATTGTGAAAATCTAAGAGCTGAGAAAGGTTTCCACAGTCAAAGGTTCTATCAATCTAAACTGGCGTTATTAATGTTTACCAAAGAGCTGGCAAGACGCACGGTAGATTCAGGTTTGAACAGACAAAAGAACATGTGGAATATATTTTTGAAAGAAAGTCTACAAGAACACTTTGTAATGTATGCAATACTAAATTGAACATTATTTTTTTCACTGACAGGCGTCGCTGTAACATTTGTCCACTCAGGGCTGGTACAAGCAGAACTATACACAGACATATCCTGGGTATATCTTTTTCTGCAGTCCATCATAGCAGGACAATGTGTAAAGGTACCACATATTTCTAAAAACTTTACTTGACCATTTTTCTCTTAATCCTTAATTATTTTTTTTACGTTTTATTTGGTTTACATGTCTTATCTACATTTTCAAAAGACGCCGTTAGAGGGCGCCACGTCTATCTTGTTCTGCGCTTTGGATGACTCAGTGCAGACTGGAGGTTATTACATGGACTGTCGTCTATATGACCAAAATGTGTGGGTCCCCAAGTGTGCTTATGACGAGGGACTGGCCAGGAAACTCTGGGAGATCAGCGAAAGACTCACAGCCAGTAGTGACGTCATCGGTCAGCTCAGGGAGAGGCTCTCAAAGGGGACTTAGTCCAAATCCGCTTTTCTTCAGTTATAAACTAATGAATATTTCTACAACAATAAAATTAAGTTTTCAAACTTTATATTTATATTACAATTATTATTATATATAATTATATTACACAACACATAAAATATTTCATATGGAGACAAGTAGATGTACAAGTAAAAATATTTGTCATTATTTGGACAATAAGTAATTTAAAACTTTTGACGGATAAAACATATCTGGATATTTCTGTCTTTAAAAGTGAAATGAGGAAAATGATAACAATATCCATGTTACTAAAGGAATTACATGTAACAATGCTTCCTTTAAGGCTATGAAGTATCAAATATTTTTGTCTCTAATTAAAATACAATTTATTTATTTTCAAGCCGGCTAGAACTCGCATGAATAAAAATAAATGACATATCTTTAAAGCATTTTGTTGAGAAGCTGAGATTTTTAAATGATATTTTGGGCATTAAAACGAAAAGAAGGGTCAACACAATAAATGACAGTACAGTATTATTTTGAAAAAAAGTCCAAGTGAATACACATTTGAGAACAATGTTTTTCTTGCTGCCTAAAGATTTACAAGGGACATACATGTCATTTAAATAACAAATTAAATCGGTCATGTTTACCCTAATAAGAAAATAATGAGCATATATATATTTTTCATTTGATGAATTAAAATTTCAAAATTATATTTCAGATCAGCAGTAACAAATAAGCGCACAAATTATTAACATCTATTCTGTATTTTGTTTAAATTGATATGACATTTAAACGTCAAAGAATACATTAATCATTTAAAAATAAAAGCATAAAATACATGTATATAATCGTAACAACTGTCATTAAAAATCTATAGTTGATAGATAACAAAGCACCTTACTGGTAGTATGACATACAATTATAAATCAGAAGCAATTATATAACCTGTATACCTGTAATAATAATATTATTATAAGTACATGAACTAGATTTGACAACAAGATTTACAGAAATAAATGCGTCAGGTTTACTAGCGTCAGGATCTTTTCAAAGCTTTGGATGCGCCAGGATTACATGCGTCGGTAGACGCCCACTTGGGCCTTGCAGTTAGGACAAGTATGAATGACATCTTTACACCCGTCAACGCAGAAAGGAATCAGACAGCAAGGCCAGCATCTGTAAACATATAACACTGTACGCCAGCGTCTCATTGCAAGTAATTAGCTTCAAATTTAGAACTTTTTTCTTTAGAAATGGGAGTTGGAGTATGTTGACAACAAAGTACTGTGTTGTGTGTATAAAGCTCATTATATTTTCTACTTGAGGACTGACCTCATTTCAATATATTAACTGAAAATTATCTCCTTTATTTCGTAAGAAAACCGTTGCCGTTTATCAGTCAGTAAACATCGCTATGCATATCACCTCTACAGATTTCCTGAGCATTGACTGTTCCATCAATGAAACGAACAATGACGTACACATCAACAATACACTATTTTATCTACTAAATCATACTTTAAATGATTATTTATACAGATATAAATATAAAAAATAAAATGTCTTTCTTTGTTTGTTAGTACGGAAATTAACGTTAATTGCAGCTATTGCAGAAAAAATTTACATAATATGGATTTTTTCTGCAACAGCTGCAACATTAATTCTCGTACCAACAACCAAAGAAAGCATTTTATTGTTTAAATAACACTCCAGAATAAAAGTGAACAATATTTTACCCAAGTACGCAGAGGATTCCAGCGATGAGCCACGTCATCATTCCGACCTCAAACGTTGTACCTGTCACAACGTCAGCACGACAGGAAGCACACGTGACCCTGACTGGACACTCACGCATCACCTGAACACCACATGCGACCACAGGCTGGGCCACAACAACTGTTTGGGCTATAAGGCCAAACAAATGCCGTAATGATTTTTTTTTTTATGAAATGAGGGCATTTTTAAAAGAATTATTTGATAAACAATTATGGGATATTCAAACTGAAATCTAATAAATATAGAAGATAGCTTACATTTTCAATATATTTAACGTCATTTACAGGTCAATATGCTCAAAATATACCACTAGAAAATTAAATCAATGTTAAAATATCTATTTGATAAGCGGTACGAGCTCAAAACTTTTATTTAAAACATATTTAATTTTAGCGTACATATACACATGTAATTACACCGTGGGTGAATATGATGCTAGAAAACATCTACAAACATCTATAATGTCCGAGTAAAATATACACTTGAAACTGCAGTTACCATAGTAAACATACCAGGGGGTGGTCCGTATCCCATCTGTTGGGGTGGTGGTCCAGGTGGTGGGTAACCCTGTTGGGGTGGGTACCCCTGTTGAGGGGGCGGACCCGCGGGTGGCTGGTATGACGGTTGTGACATTACAATGGCCTTATGCTAATCTGGATGTAAAAAACTGGAATTAAATAAATTTAGAAAACTAAGTTTACAAAACTTTAATGAAGTTGGATACACTTTATCATGAGTACAGCAATGGCTAGTCTTTAATCTGTGCAATAATTATCTGTGGCAAAGAGTGAATTTTCAACATATCAGCTTAGCCTCCATTCTAGGTGACATAAATTTCACAGTGCAACATTTACACAAGGGTAGAAATATTGAAATTGTCTAGAAAATATTACATCACATCATCGGATACGTCTTTTACTTATCACCCAAGGGCAAACTCGCTGAAATATCGTCTTTTTTTTTAGTGCAAATTCGTCGATTATAGACAACCAATTATAAAGTTGGAACTCTTCAATTTTGAAAATACGTTTATTAGTTTGCCTTTTATGCTATCATCGTGACGCCATTAAAACATAAACGATAAACAAGTTTGGCTTTCCAGAAAGCCTGAAATGTCATCTCTTTGGCTTCATTAATGTCACAGAATAAAGAGTGGAATGTAACATTTTTTCCTCAGCTATTACAGACAGAAGAACTTTTATTCAAAAAGGGGGTGGGGCACAGAATAAACAGTGGAATGTAACATTTTTTCCCCAGCGGCGGTTTACAAGCAGAACTTTTTTCAAAAAAAAGGGGGGGGGGGTAGTCAGAAAAAAAAAAATTACAACTTACCTGAATAATCTTTCACTAGGAAAAAAAAGGGGGTGTTCAAACTCGAAATTCTTATTTCGTGGATTGGAGGGAAGATTTAAATTTTTTGACTCTCTCGAAAACACATTGCGGGGGGGGGGAGGGGGGGTATGAATATGCCGCAACAAAAAAATGTGGGGAAGTTAGAGGCAAGCTGCCTTTCAGTAAACATTTGCAACAGTAATTTCAAATATTTTTTGTATATGTGTTTAAAAAATGTAACCACTAAGCAGTATTCGTAAAATTTGTAAACAGTTGTTATACAAGAGGATGGGTAAAACCTTAGCGTTCGTATTGAATTTACATCACAGCGGCTTGCTCGGACAACAGCCAAGAAGTTTAAAGCGCTAACTTGAATTAGTCCTGTGTCATATAGTGAGACTCCCACCCCCATAGTGAGACTTCCCCCCAGAAATATGGCTATATAAAGCGGTAAGACTCCCCGGTGGGGGGGGGGGGGGAGAATTACTATATAGTGAGTCTTCCCCCCTAAACGACCATAGTGAGGCTTCCCCCTTCCATGTTCAGTAGTATTTTATTTACATCGACGATGTATATATATTTGCGTTTTGATAATGATCTTATAAAATAGATACATGTATGAATAAATATAGAAGTGCGCATTAAAAATTTATCGTGCACAGTAAATAATTGAATTGTTCCAAAATGATTCTTATCAGAAGAAATACATTTAACATTTAATAGATCATTACTCGTGGACTCTTGGAATTTGCTTATGTTAACCTTCATGGGGAATGCAATAAATACAATATAGTGAAGAAAGATGTATACTTGTTACAATAACGTACATTTTTCATTCAGTTTTCTCACATCAATATACATGTACATGTCATCCCATAATCATTTTTGGCTAACAAACTGTTAAAAGGCTATTAAGATGTTTAATTATTAATTAACGGAGAACTTTTATTCATATACTGAAAAAATATTGTTTTACAATGAAATAAAATATTCCGGAAACTACATTTGAGGGGAAATCTCACTATGAAAGGGGGTAGAGACTGGCTATATAGTGAGACCTCCCCGGGAGAAGTCTCACTCTATTGCCAGTCGATCTTCCGGGGAGAAGTCTCACTATATAGCCAGTCTTCCCGGGGTATATCTCACTATATAGCCAGTCTTCCGAGGAAATCTCACTATGGGGAAGTCTCACTATACGACACTGACCCTCAATTGATTTCGAAAGATTTTCCACTTTTTATTTAAGTTAAACAATATTTTATTATGATTAAACATAACTGGATTGAACAGCAGGCACTGCCTATATAAGTCCTCTCCACAATACAGGTCAAGTCATACATGTTACAAGTAAATATTAATTACATAACATTGAAAAAATATATACATGTATATATTCTAAAGATATATATATATATATATATATAATCCTGATTTCTGGGTTAGGGGACCAATGCCATGAAATCTGGCTTAAGTAGACAAAATTTATCTTTTTCCCCTATGCTTTGAAATAAAAACCAAATGCATTTTTGTTGGTACTTGGGCTTATTAATTACCATTTTAACGCTAAATTTTACAGAAAACTTGTAGGTAAAAATATACAAAAAAATTGGTCTCCCTAATATTTTGTAACCCTTTCACGTGAGTTAAGGTGACCAGTGTATATTTTCGTAAGTACTAAATCTGGCTTAGGTGGACATTTTTTTTTCTTACAGTTGTAAGGTTATAGTGAACTAAAATTTAACAGAGAATAGTTAAATGATTCAATTTAAGAATAATATACCGTGGCAGCACAAAATACTTGAAATCTTTCAAGGCACGATAAACAGGAACGCCAGTTACAATATGTACAGCTTCTTGCTGAAGTTTATCAGGCCTTTCAGAGCAGCTGCGGAGATGCTGTTCCATGCGTCTAATGCATATTCCAAAAGTGGTATCGGTCTTACATGTATAAACGTAATACTAGAATACATTTAAGCTAAGAAATCACGATACGTAACCCTTTTAATTTACGAAAAACTGCAATTTCTTTGGAAGCCTTTTGTATAATACTGTCAGTGTGGTTTTTCCACTCCCCAGGGTTTGAGAATGTAAGTCTAAGATGATAGTGACCAAGAGAAGGATCGATTTGCTGATTATTCAACACTAAGTGCAATTATATATTTTATCTTCATTGCTGAAAAATATTAATAATTTCAGCTTGGTAATTGGGATTAAATTTCACAAGTCGTTTTTAGCCATTCTTCATTTATAAGTCGTGATTGCTCAGCCTTTCTAAGTTCTGCACGTTTTGAAAGGTGTTTGACACGAACATGCATCATATGACAATATCCTAGAGGTACCCAATAGACCACCTGGTAGGTCTTGTATATCAAGTAAGAAAAGTTGAAGTCCAAGAATAGAGCCCTGGGGAACTCCAGCTTCCGTCCTTCTCACTAAATATACTGAAAATTTATTTTCGATCTGTTGCGATTGATTGAAAAGATAATTAGTCAACAAGGTACCAGGGTAAGAACTTCACCCGTAAATTTATGCTGTCTCTTGTTCTTTTAAACAAACCGTATTGAATGTCTTGCTGTTATCACAAAATGCAAAACAAGTTAATTCGAATTCTTTATTGTTTAACACAAACCATTTATTATGATAAATTTCTTTTAACTGGGTGACTGTTTAATGATAGGCGCGTAGCTGCCTATACGCAAATATGCAAGTGCATACACATAATTGTAAAAAAATAAACAAATAAATATAATAGATGAATAAATAAATAAAATCTATGGGAGAGAGAGAGAGTTATTCGAAGAAAAAATCTCAGTACCATCCAACAAATATTCGGATTTCGAATTATTTTGTGTCATACTGCTGAAGAGCGCTTTGAATTTTATATAATCATGACTATATAATAAAATTTGAAGTCCTTTATTAAATCATTGCCAAATTTAAATAAAGCATTCATGAACTTGTATTCGTTCTTTGATACATTGATAATTTTTGATATTTTTTAAAGATCTTTGAGAAATAAAATTTCAGACACATCCTTGAATGTCATGATCTACTACATGTAGTATATGATTTAAAATACGATATTTTTTGTTAATAATTAACATTAAGTATACAAGTTGTTGAACGATAGAAAAGAGTATGATACCAAATATCGATTAGATATTTAGCCTAAACTACATGTACACTAAGTTTCCGTAGAAGTATTAACTTTGCGTTAAAACAATAAATATTATGTCTTCTATTTCTAAACAAAAGATAAATGACATAATTTTTATTTTGCAAGAAAATGAATGATATACATGTATTTGGTAAAACTCAGAAACTTCTGGGCCCTCACCAGCAGGCATGTAGTATGGGGGGGGGGGGGGAGGGTTCCCTGCCTATTCTTTTCAAAACCTAACTTTTGACTATTGAAAATGTTCACTGAAAGGGTGGTTGCCCCCATCCACTTTTTGTTGTAGCATAGTTAAACCATGCTAATTTGATAATATTTTTAATATAGTTTTTTGTGAAAACTGGAAATTAACCCCCACCCTACCCCCGTCGTCCTCTTCGTATACTTCACTTTTATTTGGCTACGCACCTGCCATAATGTAGTTTGTATAACAATTTACAAAGTATTTGAACATTATATTCTTTCAAAGATTTTTCCTATGCAGCATAATAAGGATACCGGTATGTAATTAACTTGATGAATTTGTTTTAAAGACAGAAATTACATGAGTATGTTTCCAAACACCAGGGAATTGTCCGATACGCAAAAATGTTTCAAATAAAATTTTTAGCAAAACTGCAATTTTATTTCTAGTTTTTAAAAACAAAATATGACTGAATATGTCGAGAAAAGGCTTTTAAGGATCTAAAATTTTAATGTCAATAGTTTGATACACACAAATTACTTTTTAAAATCGTGGAGCGATGACCTGGAGATAGCAAATGTATAGAAAAACGTGTGTAAATAAAATTTTGTAACAAATTCAAGGTAAATTTCAGTAAAACAACACACAATATCTGGAAATAAAAATTCCCTTTCCTATATCCAAAGAACCCAATTCAACAGTACGTGCTGAATCTAATTCAAAAGCGCTATTGGTCTTTATAATTTTGAAATGTATAATATATAATAATGGGTATTTTTAGAGGTACACAATTATTTAACAGTTGCAAATAGTAGTTTCACATGCGCTAGTTTACTTATGGGCCCCCATAAGTAAACTAAGTTAAAAATGGCCTAGCGGTTCCTGAGAAGTCGAATGTGAAAAGTTTACAGACAAGTGGATAGTCAGATGGGCAGACACTGGACAACAGGTGATCATAAAAG